TTCAGATGGGAGCACAATCATTTTAAAGATTGTGTTACATTATAAATGCCTTTAATGCGATTTCCTTTTCAATTTAATGCATCCTTACTGACAGAATAATAAAATCTCACTGAACTTTAAATTTTATATGTATAAAATACAATTTTCATTCATTCATTTTCTTTTCGGCTTAGTTCCTTTATTAATCCGGGGTGGCCACAGCGGAATGAACCGGCAACTTATCCAGTATGTTTTTATGCAGCGGATGCCTTCCAGCTGCAACTCATCTCTGGGAAACATCCACACACACACATTCACACACACACACACACACACACACACACACACACACACACACACACACACACACACACACACACACACACACACACACACTACAGACAATTTAGCCTACCCAATTCACCTTTACTGCATGTCTTTGGGGGAAACCGAAGCACCAGTAGGAAACCGATGTGACTGCATAGGGGAACATGCAAACTCCACACAAAAACACAAACTGACCCAGCCGAGGCTCAAACAGTAACCTTCTTGCTGTGAGGCGACAGCACTACCTACTGCACCACTGCATCGCCCCAAAATACAATTTTCATTAACATAAACAAAAGCATTCAAAAGCTTTTAAGATTACAAGTGGTAACACTCACACAAACACTTTTCTTTGTAACATTGCAAAATATAATCAAAAAGAAATGACAATTTTTATTCAGAACTAGATAAGCATGTTTCAAATGTTTTTTTAAAGTTATATGAGATTTAAATTCAAGATGTTTAAAATCAACTAATGTAATGTAATTTAAAACTTTTAAATAATGGTCCAGGGCAGCACGGTGGCTCAGTGGTTAGCATCACTGTTGCCTCAAAACAAGTCACTAGTTTAAGTTCTGGGGAGACCAGTTGACATTTGGTGTGGAGTTTGCATGTTCTCCCCGTGTTCATGTGGGTTTCCTCCGGGTGCACCAATTTCCCCCATAGCCCAAAAGACATGTGCTGTAGATGAATTGGGTAAGTAAATTGGCTGTAGAGTGTGAGTGTGAGTGTGAGAGTGTATAAGTATTTCCCAGTACTGAATTGCAGCTGTAAGGGCATCCTCCGTGTAAAGCATATGCTGGATTAGTTGGCGGTTCATTCTGCTGTGGCAACCCCAGATGATTAAAGGGACTAAGCCAAAGAATAATGGATGAATGAAAATAATGGTCCGTTAGTTAAGGTTAGTTAATGTATTCACTAACATGAAGTTGAAATAAGTATGAACAATCTTGTACAGCTTTTTGTCATGGTTTACTAATGCATTATTAAAATCTAAATGTATGAACAACTGTATTATTATTAACTAACATTAACAAAGATAATAAACACAGTAATAAATGTACTACACATGCAATTTAAAACTGCATCTAATGCAGATATAAGCATTTTACAACAATATATACTGTAGCTACAGGATACGCTGAGGCTGGGACACGGGGTCTTTAGAATGAACAACCAGAAAAAAAACTTAGATTGGAGTTTGCAGCAAAGCAACTATAATTGCTGCAAGAGACGCATGTTCCTTTTAAAGTTTTACCAAAATGTCTTATGAAATTAATTTAATAAACTTAAAAACATGACATCAGCATATTTTTTGCGTGTTGTGAATTTCAGTGCATTGGATATACAGTACGGCTGGGCTGATAAACAATTCTATATCGAATTTCAATAACATTAATGTCAATAACAATGATGAGCTCTGGACTTTTCTACTCCATATTGATCTAAGAGCCAATCACACAGCAGAAATGGGAATCTAAAAGTGTGCTGATAATATTAGAGGTGCACTAAATTTTTCGCCCACAGAAAATTTATTGTCAGAAAATGTTATGCCATTTAATAGACCCTCTAAGTTTTGTGACTTCACTCATTGTTGGGGTACTCTTTTAAATCTGGAAGCATTACCAACTCGAAATATTTATCGTTATCATTCAATGTGGAAAATAATTTTTGAAAATGTATTTTTATTTTTATTATAGAAATAAGAAGTTACACATTATTGCAAACAAATGGTTTAATGTAGGGCTGCACATTTCATCGTTTGAACATCAATATCACAATGTGTGCATCCGCAATAGTCACATCTCAGCAGCATATGCAATGTTAGAACCTATTGTTGGGATTTTATTTGACCAGAAACCACAGGTCAAAACACATCAGATTTGTAGAGACACTGCAGAATTTAATCATAATAAAGTGAAGGTTTATCATCTGCTAAGTGTTTTAAGGCACATGGCTTAGTGAGCATTTTAAGAAAGCTTAAAGCATTTTAATAGTGCATAAAGAAATTTAATAAATGATGAAGATGTTGATTTAAATTTGATTATTCAATTTCTTAAAAACCTAAAAGCACTACTTTTTTCATTTTAATATTTACCCCATTGCGTTTATTTATAACAGTAGTTTGCTTATTTTATATATATATATATATATATATATATATATATATATATATATATATATATATATATATATATATATATATATATATATATATATAATATGGACGACGCAATGGGTAGCACTGTCGCCTCACAGCAAGAAGGTCGCCTTGACTGGGTCAGTTCTATGTGGACTCACGGAGTTTGCATGTTCTCCCCGTGTTGGCGTGGGTTTCCTTCAGTGCAGTCCAAAGACATGCGGTATAGGTGAATTAAATAAGCTAAATTGACCGTAGCGTATGACTGTGTGTGTGAATGAGTGTGTATGAATGTTTCCCAGTTATGGGTTGCAGCTGGAAGGGCATTCGCTGTGTAAAAAATATGCTGGATAAGTTGGCTGTTCATTCTGCGGTGGCGATCACAGGTTAATAAAGAGACTAAACCGAAAAGACAATGAATGAATGAATATATATTTCACTCCCCTACAAAATCATCCCAATAAATCTAAATGAATGACTTTTCAAATAGAGTCATCATGTGATTTTTTTTAATCGCTAAAATGTGTATATATGCGTGTGTGTGTGTGTGTGTTTGTGTGTATATATTTTCCAATATTGTGCAGCTTTAATTCAAAGTTAAAGTTTATGAAGTGTACCACTGCAGAAATCTACTGTCACTTAAATTTCAGGTCAATCAGCCATTTACAAACTGCCAAATACTTAATTAAACTCAAGAAATTGAAAGAATCCCACTAAATTAATCTATATTACCATAACAACAGATGTTGGTTTGTATATTAAATGTCTGTAGGTATAAAATCAGTGCATATGAGCAATTCCATGCAAATGTCCATGAAAAAAAAAGCACCTTGCCTTGAAGAAATTGTTTTCACCAAAATAGTGAAACCCTTTCTAGGTTTTTCTGTGTAGGCGACTATTTTACAGTACTATAAAAATACTCAAAAATATCTCTGTCAATGTTTTCGAACAATTATATTTGATTTACCACAGTAGCACAACTGCTAATTTGACATCCGTCCCATCCATAACCAAGATTTTACCTCATAATTGCAAAAATGTCAAATAAAATCAATCATAGAGAGCCGACTCTTAACATTTTGTGATTGGTTTAATTTTTTTGGGGTTGTGCAGTTTAATTCACAGAATTTCTACAGAGTATGTTGTGTACTGTAAACAGAGTTTTTTGATCAGATCCATAACGCATGCTTGTTTACATCATTCAAAATATAAAAATGTTTATAGATTGATATTTTTCTGATCCCATAACTCTGCGGTTGGTAGTTTTTGAAAATATAAACAGATGTTTCAATATAATGTTAACATATACTTTCTCTGTGTATTTTTGTTTTAAGTTTTTAATGCAAAGTCACATCCATAAGGGTGGAATTGCTCATATACAGGAGTTAAAGGACTGAAGAAGTGTCTGTGTTGCTCATGGAGGAGTAATTTTGGGGGGTGACGCACAAAATAACAATACATCCTCCTGGTTGAGTCCTCGTTAGTGACAGGACGAAAGGTAACACTTGGCATGCGTAGCATTTCTAACTGAGTTATGAAAAACTGCAACACAAGAGCCCATCATTTAATTTCAAATGAATGAATGAACCCGTGACTATAGCTCATGCTATGCATCCTAAAACAACTTCCACATGTGAAAAGTATATGCAAAAAAGGACCTACATTTAGGGTATTTTCGGCATTTTATTAAATGAATAAAAAATTGCCAATGTAAACATATCTATAATGAAAAAGCCAGGCTAATGCTAGCAGGATTAGCAGTTTAAAACATTTAATTTTGCATAAAATCTGTGGATTGTAATAACAGTAAAACACAACACCTACAAATATGCTTAACCTGCAGATCGAATACTGAACCGCTTGCAGAATAAACATAAGAGAGCAGAAAAATGAGAATAATTATGTGCATGTAGGCCTCCGCATCTCTGACGCTAATGCTAACGCCATCTTCACAGACGCAAAATAGCTAACTAAATCAAGAGATCCCAGTGTCCCTCTGACAACATCATGGGTATAAACAACTCAAGGGCGCATATAAAGCATCCATCAAGTATGCGTATGATGATCGTAAAATCTTACCATGATTATCAGGTATGTTAGAGGAAATACTGGATGACCCCCCTGTGAATGTGTCGTATCATGTGACTGCTGCTGTTCCGCCTCATGACGAGCGCTGCCCGCACACATCACAAGACATAAAAGCTGTATTATCCGTCTTTAAAACCCTCTAGAAACAATACTGAGAATTATTATTTATGTATCCATAATAGTAAAATTAGCTGCGTTGTGTCATTATAGAATAATAACTGAGGTAAATTGTATTTAGAAAATAATAGTTTCTCTGAACAACATTCGGTTAGCATCTAATGACAATAAAATAATTTAACGTCGCTTCGACAGATAAAAAATTTATTTACAAGGAATTTATGTTGATCATGAACGACGTTATCCACGCCCATTTGTGAAGCAACCAATGACAGGCCAGAACGTTTATTCCTGGTGCGACACGTGTTCATTTTCGCGCGAAATTGTTCAGTGTTCTGTGGAGCGTCCTCTGTTGTGTTCTGCTGTGTTGTTGCAGTAAAGGGTTTATAAAATGGATAAAGAGTTGTTTCGTAAGCTTGCTTCGAAGATTGGGATAACATCGATTAAAGTGTTAAGGTGAGTGTTCAAGTGTAACTTACTATTTAGTGGCTCGTCGCTTGCTTTGAGAGGACAATATTGGTAGCAGAACATCTTGACAACTCATCCATTTGTTTTCAGTCAAGCAGAGGAGTACATGCGATTATCCCAAGTGAAATGTGTCGGCTTGGGTTCTGGGACTGCAACCAGCAAAGCTGTTATTTGTCTTGAATTGGCAGCGACTGCAATGAAGTTTCCTCTGGACAAGGTACGACCCTGTTCCCTTTGTGTGCTGTGCAGTTTAAACATACACACGTAACTTGCATGACACTTTTATATGGCTGCGTATTTTCCCTCTCTAATTTATTTGTTTGGTCTTTATCTGCGTACTTTTTAGTGGCCATTATTCATCATACATAAGAGGAACTTTATATTATTGTGGTTTATTTCCTCACTCGCCACCACAGTCTAATATCTGTCATGTCTTGCATCATAATTTCTTATATTGATCAATATAGATTGAATTGTAATTCAGCAAGAAATCTGCTGGTATTTAAAGCAAATGACCTAACGTTATTCATTAAATAAGCCAAGACAAATTTTGAAGCTACAGTGGTACGTGTCCTAAATGCACACAAATCATTTTAAACAGTTGTGTCCATCCCTTAAACAAAATAAAAATGTATGCTTTAGGAAAGTAAACATATTACATTTTCCATATGCACCAGATGTCATATTTAGTTTAAAGACAAGAAACACCATGTTAAAAAATGAAAATAAAATCACGTGGAGTAGAACAGAAGTAATTTAAACAAGTTTTGAAAAGTTAAATGCGTTTTAATGGGAATGTAAAATGATTTTAAGGTGCAGTAGGTGATCTGCCAAAATGCTAACTGGTTAGCATAATATATTTGAAAACACTGTCCCTCCCGTCGTCCAAAGCCACGCCTCCAGAAATTGCAAATGCGCACATTAAAGATGACTGTAGACAACCCACTAGATTATGTCATTCGCCAGTTAGAAAACTGTATTAAATCTATCTAGCACGCTTTCAGTAGTGTAGTTAGCAAGCCAAACTTGTCATCACTCTCTCATCAGGCTCACTCTCTCATGGGCTTCTTCCTAAAGCGACTACTGTATGCTTAGTGGTTGGCCGGGTTTCAGGAATTACACCTATTACTAAGCCATGCTGCATGCTATTTCAGACCGAATATTCAGAGTAGCATGGTGAACAATAAAGGGAGCTTTACTTAGCTTTTACTACACAGACTGTCATTGTTCAAAAATGAACCAATGTTAATATAAAATCAACTTCACCTTAAAGCGAGCTAGGCGAATAACGCAATTTACTGATGTTTTGTTGTTAAAATAAATAAAAATCTCCATTGTTGATGCTGTTCAAGGACCTCATAAAACTGAAAAGTCGCATCAATCTTTCACTCAATGATTTTAGTGGCTGAACAACACTTCTGTGCATATAACCCATTCATAATCTACATCTGCTTTGCAAGACTAAAATAGTTTTAAAACAGAACATTACCTGTGTAATTTAAACTCTTAAGTCATGGTGTCATCTTTCCTCCATTGTGCAAAAGTAACTCCAATATTGATTCAGAGTTTTAAAAAGTTTGGATTCAGCATTTGTTTTTAGTGCTGTCACTCATGACGGCGGCCCACATGAACGTGCATCAGAGGATCTGTATAAACAGGTACGCAGTTGTTCAAACCTACATTTGCTGAAAGATATTTTGGGCTACTTATCAGATTTATTGGCCTGAAAATGTTTCATTGAATGAACATTTTGTAGTCTTCTGCCTTACCCATAAATTAAAATACATTTAAATACATTTAGATCATTTACTTTAATCATTAATATTGGAATGTAAAGAGACTTTTAACCAGCACAACAAAAAATGTTTCTGAAAACAATCACCTACTGCACCTTTAATCTTTATATTGTGTGCAGGTGATGAAACTAACATTTTCCCAGTGGCAAGCAACTGAAAATTTACCAGCCATGAAACCGCTTGTGCTTTTCATAAGAGTAATATTGGGGAAACACTTTTTTTTATGTTTTATTTATACATTGTAAAACACATCACAATAATATAGATCATGTAACAATAAGCAAATACACAGAAATTTTTTTTTGAAGAAAAAAAAAGACCGAACAAAAAAAAAAAAGATAAATAAAAAACAGTAGTGCAATCTTACAGGAAATCTTACAGGTCTACAATGTGCTGACCACAACTAGTATCCAAGCTGGTAGTTGGGGTGGGCACTCAATTAGAAGGAACAGGGTTGTAAGCTGAGAAAATATTATATACTTTTCCTTCTATGCTAATGAAGGACTACTGAGACATTCCAAGCATGGGATGAGTCCTCCTGGTGAGGCAGAGTTCCTCACAGCTCCGATACACATCTCTGCCATTTGCTTAGAGTAACCATGTGCTCTTCACCATACACAATTCATCTACTTGTGTTCTTCTTTCAGATAACTTTGTCATGTTTGGTGCCATTTTACAGTTTATGACTTCAGTTTTGTAGTGATGAAATCAACAGAGACATTGATTAATTGTATTTCAATCTACAATATATTTGCTGAGTCATGGCCTGAGAAGAGTATGTTAATGTTCTTCTCCCCACTTTATCTCCTCAACTTTGTTCTCATGTTCAGCTGGTTTTGGGGGTTGGTTTTCACTCATGTTTGACAATGCTTTGCTCAGGGTATAATAGGGAAAGGTAACTGTTGATCTGGGAGAATGGCTTTTACTCTGCATCTCCCGCACACCAGTGCGTAGCCTCATATGCTAACAAAGGCAGTTTCACTGTCTTTGTTGCTCAGCAGTGCATATGTTACAGCTAATTTCTTTATACAGTATGTTTGTTTGTGTCATTCTAATGTCTGTATATTTAAACATGTAACTTAAACAACTTTGCCTGCTTTAAGACGTAGAGATTCTTTCTCTTTATCAATGATGATAACAACTTTAATGGAGTCAGATTAATTACAATGGAGTCAGATAAATAATGGATTTAAACACGCCATCCTTCAACTGCTTTCTGTTTCCGATTATTGGTTCAGAATAGCAGCGTAAGCTTCAAGCCTTACAGGGTCAACCTGAAGACTTTTGACATGTTTGCGAAGGGGTTTCCACATTTTAATGAAAAGAGTGCTAGGGTGGTGAAAAGAGTACCTTATTTTCTCTAATTTCATAAATAAAGAAAATTTCTTATCCAGCAAGTGTCAGAAGGAGGGTAAGGGCTCTTCCAGTTCAGGAAAATTAACCACATAGCCAGAAGGGTTAAGAAGGCTACAAACTCTGAAAATGACAGGGTAACGTGTGACCAGGTGGGAGAACTCCAAATAAACCAATAATTGGACGAGGTGGGTTAAAAAGACAAATGTGCCTCCGAAAACAAGGCAGGGAAGGGCAGGACCAAAACTTATGAATTAGTGTGGCTGAACCAGAATGACGCTTGTCGCACTCAGGGTCAATAGACTGGTTGATGCGAGCTAGCCTGCTTTTGTAACAATGAGCTCTATGCACAGGGAAACACATTTAACTATACATGTTTGTGTTATTCATATTATTGTTTAATAACAGCAACTTCACAAAACTTTTATTACTCTATATTTTTTATCAAACTTTAAACCATAGAGAGAGTGGATCGGTAACCCTGAACTAAACTACTACTAAAAATACTGTTATCACGAGCTGTGATAAAACACAGTGAATCATGCAGCAACAACAACAACACTGCATCTGAGATTAATATTCATGTTTGAACTTGTCAGAGCATTCTCAGGAAAAACCTGTAATTTAAAGTAGTTCAATTATTTGCCAAAACCAACTTTATTGTAGTTAAATGTTTGGGAGTGTTCATTTTAGACCCTTGTTTTTAATTTTGTATAATAAATATAACATAATTAATATCATATTTAATATGCATATGCTTTGGTAATAACTGTGCACATAATTAATATTCTTTCAACATTCTGCTGGACAGGAGTATGCCATCAAACTGTCTGGACTGAATCCTAAGGTCTACTCCAGCAATTTGAAGACTATGGAGTGCATGCTGGGCCTGCAGTCAAACCTGGGTCTCCGAGATCTAGCAGTCCAGTTTGGGTGTTTAGAAGCAGTTAAAGTGGCTTCTCAAATCCTTCAGCGGTAAAAATTCACCTCATGCCGGTGCAGTCGAAGAAGCTTGTACTGATTATAAATGACATCATTTAAAGTTACATTATGTGTTTAAGGTATGAGACCAGTTTGCCTGCAGCTCAGCAGCAAGATCTTGACTTGACGAAGCCTCTCTTTACCACAGCGGCTCTGTATACAGCATGCAAGTGAGTGTTCTGAAGTTGAAGCAGTATTGTTGCATCATCAAGTTGACTAATGAATGGTTCAGAAATGCCTGTTTGTGCATGATTATGTGTTTGGGACTTGCATCAGGTATTAATCAGTTGAGCAATAGATTTTTTTTTGAAAACGCCAGCTCTTCAAAATGCTTGAGTAGTCAAAGCGTGAGGCTTTAATGATAACTGTATAACATAGAACAGTTTTGGAGCACAAAATTCAGTTGAAAAGGTCAGTTTGATTGAATGTTACTTTTTATACATTACAGTCATGTTTATGTGGGCAAGAGAACTCGCATGTGCTTCATTTTAAAATGTGCAAATAGAAAAACACTAACAAATTAAGAAAACCGTTTCATTGGTTTAACAAAACATGTTGCAAATGCCAAAATGTGCTGCAAATACTGCAGATCACTACCGAAATGTCGGGAGACCCCAAAAAATGACAAGCCTGACTGCTTAAGGTGTTGTCAGTATAACATTGCACAAAAATAGCTCTTCATTCAATGTTATTTTTGTGCAATTTGTCAGATTATTAGAGCTACAAATATACAAACCGCTAGGGGTCTGTTCTTCGTAGCTCGCTTAAATGATCTAAGATGATTTGGCAGATCCTGGATCTTTTAATCTTGATAACTGATCTCTGGCTAATTTGGTTCTTCAAACAAGTTTGTGAATCAGATTAAAATGTCTGGATGAACTGATCTGAGATCGCTGCGTGTGTTGTGAAGGACTGATCTATCGATCCTTGAAATCATGATCAGCAATGCAACGATTGGCTGACGGCACAGCAGCGTAATGACATCATCTGATTAATATTCAATTATCCATGTGAGCAAAATAACAAATTTATAGGAAACGGTTTGTTAAATATTACACGCAATAACTTTACACCTTGTTGTGGGCTGCATGCTTGGTCCTTTCATGTGTCAAGAGCAATTTATTTAGTTTTACAGTTAGAGCGGATTTTCCTTATCGTACCTATAGTGCTATTATAGTAGCCGTTTTTTAAATTGGTGTAAAGCATAACTGGATGTTTACAAAAGCATTTTGATATTAGTAAAGGTGTCTGCAACTTTTATGAAGCATCAAATCACCGTAATATTAACTGTCAAAACATGTTTATGACTGCATAAAAGTATTGTCGCTTTTAAAATATTACATGTTGTGCATTTCTATTATCATACACAAATTGTACTAAAGCGATCTCTAAAAAGTTCATATCAATAAGTTTTCTCTTTGCACCACCAGGTGGCAGTCTTTGTACTTTCATTTCGGGGGTGCAGATTGCGTACGTTTTATTGATATATAACCTTATTTATTTTATTAATAACTATAACTTTATATAGTTTTAATAATGGGGTTTCTCAATTGATATAACTACTACTGTAAGAAAATATCAGAATTAGGTATATACTTTCTGTATTATCTTTGCTTGAACTAAGCTGATCTAATCCTGTTTATATGATTTAAATCTGCTTCCGACCAGGTTTAAGCTAGCAGATTTGTTGCTATGACAACAACTCTCAGATCAGTTTGGAGAACGAAACGATCCTGGATCATGTCAATAACCATCAATAACCAAATCTAGCTAACTTAGTAATCCATGTATGAAGAACGGACCCTAAAACATAGATGATCAGGATGTTAAACTTAACCAAAAAAAAGCTCACCTCTTATATCTCCGACAACAGTGTAATCTACAAGCTCGTCCCTTTTTGAGGTCCCTTTACACGTTTTCTAAACTTGCAGTGTGTAGCCACCACATATTTCATACAAATGTAAACAGTTTAGAAGCTCAAACTATATTTGGAAATGTCAAATCTTGTATTGAACGCTTTTTTGTGTGTGTTAATTTCACCTAGATTTGTACTTCATTTACACACGTTATCCACATATTGACCTCTGTGAAAACAAGTGCTTCCAGAAAAATGACAAAGCGTCTTTCTTTAAGGTGCTGTATGTAAGTTTTTGACTCTTCTAAAGCACAAAAATACCATAATATGTTTGCAGATATTTAAGAAACATGCTAAGTGAACTTGTTTATCCGAAAAACAATTCTGAAGTCAGATAATCTGCTTTAAAAATATGCATTATGTAACAGAATGGCTGTCTTTGTTTTGGCTGTTTAGTCGACCCAATGCAAGTTTACCCAGTTATATTTCAGCACCCGGGTTTGCTTTGGTGGAAAACAGAGTATTTCAGTCATTCAGTCAGGAAGGCTCTCAAAGCATATGTCTACTACCAATAAATCAACCCCCAGTAGACCGTAGCAGCCTCTGAAATGAGATGGAGATTCAGAGTGCCACTTGATCTGGTTATTAATTAGCAAATATGATGAATGTAAACATTAGGTGAGCAGGCTACATTGTAACCTCGTGTCCTAAAAACATGATCCGTGACAAGATACACAGTGATGAGTAATTTGGCTGTTTGCACCAGATGAAACATGACAAATTTAAATACAGCCATTCAGAACCGTCTTCTGCTTCTTTCAATAATATGTCAGTAAATGTCTAGTAAAGTGTCATTCAAACTCGCATTATTAGCATTTAACACTGAATAAAGTGTTGAGGTTTACCTGAGGAGGTCATTTTCAGTTTTTAATTGTTCAGCTGCAAGATGTGGAAGCTAATCTAAAATATTGTGGTCAGGTGTTGTTAAGGACAAAAAGTCCTTTTAATATAGAAAATTTATTTTCTATTGTGTCCTGCTACTTTTATTTAGAACAAAATTTAAATCGGCCTTTGTTGGTGTCGTCAATCTTGTGTGTTTTGAACCAGGAACTAGTAACCATAACTAGTTTAACCACTGGGTGTCTAACTTACATCTTTACCTTTAAAGCCAGTAACTATGTAAGACAGGCCACATCTAAACGTACAACAAGGTGACTGCATATTTAGTTTTTTTTATTAGCCAACCAAACTGCAATAATAAACTACTTTAGCTCCCAGTACAGTCAAAAACATTTTCTGCATGTCAACAGCCCACAAAAGTCTCTAAATCTAAACCGCACCTGGTTTACATGGAAAAATGGAAAACTAAATTGGTTCTGTCCTTCCTGTTTGAAGGTGCATGAAAATCAGAACTGACAGGAAATTAGCCTCTTCATCTGGAGCCAAGAAGAGCATCTTTGACCGGCTCTGTGCACAGTTTCAGAAATTTGGACAGGAGATCTGCAGTAAGTGTGACTTCAAATAAAAGCTGTTTGTGAAATGACACATCGCCTAATTAAAGTGAACAAAGGCATTTTTGAAGGGGGGTTGTTCTGGTTGTTTCATGTGCAACAAAGATGTTTTAAATGAAGGTGGCCAACTTTTTATTTTTTCATTAAAGAAAAATAATACTTCAAAGAGTTTCGTCAAGAAGAAACAGACATATTCGCTGGTTACCATGGCCACAGACATATCACAATTAGACTTCATATATATATATATTTTGTGTTTTTACTTGAACATCAAAGAGCAGCCTGGTCTTTTTCTCAAGTAGATATTGAAGTTGTGATATTAAGCAGACTGATTCACTCTAACTCTTAGATGAGGCTTCGTCTTTGGAGAAACCAGTCAAAGGCACTCAAAAGAGGCAGAAGACACTCACTGAAATGCTGGAAATGGAAGATGGTATGGAAGGAAATGTATTATTTCCAATAAGAATATAATATCTCATATTAGATGAAGCATATGTCATGTTTGGTGATAAAACATTATTCTCTTTCTCACTGTATTTCTAATAAGATGATAAACCTCTGACGTCTCCCAAGCAAGAGCGGGTTGAGAAGACTGAGGAGGAGGAGACTCACCACTATGAGGAGTGGAAGAGAAAAATCCTGGAAAATGCATTAAAAGCAAAAGCTGTAGATTCCTGAAGTATGTACAGTTTTATATTTTCTTTTTATTTAATTGTGGACTTTCATAATATCTGGAAGATCTCACTTGGAGCTGAATTCTGTATTCTACCAAGAGAAGTTGTATGCCCCCTTCTGGCTGCTTGAGTGAAATTTTTACCCACATACAGACATTACTAGAATAATTATGGCACTTTTTATTGTAGTTTTGTTTTAATGCCATTTTACCATTGCAAAAGAGTTTCTGATTGATTTTTTTATAATGTGGTAAGATGTTTAATCCTCATTTATATAATGTATTACAAATGGCAGCATTTTATCATAGCTCATTTAGCATGTCAGAATGAAACTGTTGAATCCATTACGGATTGGATGATTTACCTGGTTTTAATCTAAGCTCATTTCTCAGTGTTCTGTTGTATTGCTTTGGGTCGCTGTAATTCGTTATACTCGTCAAAGGAGGAGTATAACGACTCAAGGTCAACTGGAAGGGTTTTATTCGTTTGTTTTAATAAGACATGACTCATTTGCTTCCATTTGGATTTTAATGTGAATAAAATGGGTGTTCTTGACACAATTTAACTTCTCATTTTTTGACTTAATTAGACATTTTCTACCCAGAAAACTGGTGACAATCAGTATTACACTGAAAAAAAAACTCCTGTTAGATGCTGTCTACGCAAGCACACTCTACAAAATAGCAAAACAGGACTACCCTATGATTCTGTGCTCTTGATTGCTGGTTGCCAAGCCATGAGCAAAACCACCGTAGTGGATGTTTTTGTTCTCATGCTTTTACCATATGAATGTGTATATCCGCTATTGCAGTCAAGTCCTAGGAAGCAGTTTCAAGTCACAGTATGGATTAACATTCAGGAAATTCTGAACAACAAATAAAAAGGTTTCAACTATGAAGATTTAAATTGAAAATGTATCAAGTTAACAATTTGTTTGCGGCTCTAATCAACATGCTAAAAATAACGAAAACATAAGATGACCAATGTGTTTCTACATCAAATCTTCATGCTATTTTGACTAAATATAAAATACCAATCCATGAGGACAAAAGCAACATTCAGATACTAGTATAAGGCAGAAGTGCCCAAGGAAAACACCTTCACAGAAGGGACAACAGCTTTTTCATGTGGTTCAAAAGCACACCCTGCCATCCATGCTCTACAAAAAGCATGATGAAGACGTGTAAATGAAATGTAATGGTGTTGCAAGGTAAAACATTAAGGGAAATGCGACCTTTTTAACAAGATGAAAGGCAAGAACATATTGAACACGTACTGTGAAGCCATTTCAAAACCATTCAGACAAGTTCAATGTGCGATGTTGTGATGTCCACTGTCCTCCAGGTTAATAGCTAATTTGGTGTACTAATTGATCTGCTTTGCTGAAACCTCTTCAGCCTGTTTGCTGCAGCCACTGCATAGAAGTGTTTCTGTAAAGACAAACAGTCCTCATAAGAGCAGGATGTGTTTTGCTGGTATGTGATAACGATCCTATAACACCACCATATGTTATAAGTCCATCATACCTTCCACTGACGGTGTGCAACAAGGTAACGCTGAAGCATCATTTGAGACTTCAGCCGAACTTTGTACATCTTGGCCTTGTCCTCCAGGTTATTTAGCCAGCTGTGCTTCATGCATCCTGATGCACTCAATCGGCTGCTGTCATAGAGACCACACATATTACACATTAAAGGTGTCTTAATAACATTCGTTCCTCAAAGAAACAAAATGTTCCATAGCAAAGTAGCCCTGTGTGACATGACTATGAATCGTGTTGTTTTTAAGCCTTTGACTGACTGAGAGCTGTTCTGCTCAATAAAATGCTGATCGAGCACTTTCCATTTGGACAGGATGTCAACAAACCTCTGCAGGCGTACAGACACATTGCATTACAGATTTATAAATCAATATATTGTGTTAAGTTAAAAAACATCAAGAAGATTATGGTAATGTTTGGCTAGCCTGTGGCTACCTGTAGGCCACACTTGCAGTCTTTAAACCTGACCAAACAATAAGTGATATATCTAAAAACAGAATTGTTGTAAGCTTTTACGGTGGCTCAGTGGTTAGCACTGTTGCCTTTCAGCAAGAAGGTTGCTCGTTTGACTCCCAGCTGGATCAGTTGGCATTTCTGTGAGGAGTTTGCATGTTCTCCCCAGGTGGGTTTCCTCTGGGTGCTCTGGTTTCCCCCACAGTTCAAAGACATGCGCTATAGGTGAATTGAATAAACTAAATTGGCCGTAGTTTATGTGTGTATATGTGTGTATGGATGTTTCCCAGTACTGGGTTGCAGCTGGAAGTGCATCTACTGTGCAAAACATATGCTGGCTAAGTTGGTTGTTCATTCCGCTATGGAGACCCCTGATGAATAAAGGGACCAAGCCGAAGCAAAATGAAAATGAATGTAAGCTTTGAGGTTAATCTTTTGTGCGTTTACCAAACTCATCTATTCACATTCAAATAATTAAAAATAAAATGGTTTAATAGTAGAATTTGTGAATAAAAAATACATTACCAATGATGCTCTGCAGAAAATTTGACTAATCAGAGAGCGTTATAGAGAATCGTTCACCAAAACAGATCTTTAACTCCTTTCACTTCAAGATTTTCAATTACATCTTTGCTTTAAATCAAAGTTGCAAAGTATTAAATCTAGTGACAAGATGTTTCTGGGGCCTGTTAAACAAACTGTTAAGTTACAACGCGGGTGCTAAAATGTAATTTACTATTAAATACTTCTGTTACACACTATTAAACTTAGTTTAAAACCTTAGTTCAGGTCACTTGAGCAAATTGAGATGCACTTTAAGTCTTAAAACTTTAAATTAGTATTGGCAAAAATGTGTATTTCAAATCTGGGATGTCTTGCGCAGCTATGTTTTTTGTCGTGAACAAACACAAGAGACAGTGTTGATACAGACTTTGTATTAATATTTGACTAACTGCAGAAGTATACATTTATATATACAATTTTAGTAATTTAGCAGACACTTTTATCCAAAGTGACTAACAAATGAGGAAAAAAGAAGCACTTGAAATATAAGTGCCATGACTAATTAGTTTAGCAGTGTTTTGTTATAATAATAATAATAATAATTCTTTACATTTATATAGCACCTTTCTGGACACTCAAATCCCTTTACACATTTTTTGGGGAAATCTCATCCACCACCAGTGTGCAGCATCCATCTAGATGATGCGATGGCAGCCATATTGGGCCAGACTGCACACCTTATGCCAGTTGATTGGTGGACTGGAGACCAAGCCAATTGTGAAGGCCAATTGAAGCCAACTGTGATATGGGGAAAGTTAGGTGGGCATGATGAACAGAAGCCAGTGGGCAAATTTGGCCAGGATTAAACCCCTACTATTTTCATTCTGGGATTTTTAATGACTACAAAAAGTCACAGAGAGACCTCGGTTTAATGTCTCATACGAAAGACGGTGCTCACTGTCAGGGCCGGCACATCCATAGAGGCTACTTAGGGGGCTGCCTAGGGTGGCAGAATACAGAGGGCGGCGTCCGCGACACCTCCCTCATCACCTGTGTCCTCAATTATGTCCGCGACACCTCCCTCAGCTTTATCCATGCCTAGGGCAGCAGAATAGAGAGGGCGGCGTCCGCGACAACTTTGATAACCAGTCACTTTCATTTCACTTTCAGGTTGAGGGTGGCGTGATCGTCCTTTGCCTAGAGAGGCAGTTCAGCTTGCTCCGGCCCTGCTCACTATGCAGTATAGACTTCATCAATATATCTAGTTAGCTTTCCCATGTGGTCTCCCATCCAGGTACTGACCATCCCTGCTTAGCTTCAGAGAGCGACTATGTGGGAGTTGCAGAGAACTAGCTGCTGGCTAATAGATTAACTGAAAGTGTCTGGTGCATATGGAGAGTTAAGGTTGCATCTCCTACAGGTGGTTTGTCAAGCCCACTCATCTGAGGTATACTAACTGAGCTAACCTCTGGCTACCTGTGCTAACAGTGGGTCAACTGATCCACAAATTAATAAAAAAAAATACACTTTTAAGCTAAAGGAACAGATGGTGTCCTAAAAATAAATAAAACAAGTGTCCTTAAGGCTAACAGACACTGTAGCATTTGCTCAAGTGCATATTTACCAGTAAGAAGACGTAATCCAGCTGATTGTACTACATTATCATGGTGCCAGTAATCCATTAGTATTCATGGGCTGAAAGCATGAATGTGCAGTGGTGAAAATGAATCACCCAGCGTGTGGGGGGCTGTGATGAGGTCATTAAACAACATTGTCACCAAAGATAAAGCGAAGGGAGGAAGGCCAAGGGGGATGTCCTGCGGTGTCTAAATGTACCTTGTCAAAGCGCACTAGATCATTAACTATCACTTTTACTGAGCCGACCATGGTGAGATGGCCGGCAAAAACAATGTGCCCTCTCATGGCCACCTGCTGTGCCAGCCTGCTATTATCTGATGCCAGCTGAGCACTGAGCAGTACAGCCCCTGTGTGGGAGAGGTTAGCTAAGACAACGCATTGTGAGAGGGAGCTCCAAATGCTCTAAAATGCACCAGGCCATGTTGCGTCTCTGTCCAATTATATGTTATTTGTGCCTTTTTTCAGGTTTGATGTCAGGATGCATTAAAAGAACCTGAGCAGGTCAAAGTGGGGCAATGATTGAGGGATGGAAGAGAAAAGTGAGGCTCTTATCCAGGAGCAGGAGGTCAGATGAGAGGAGAAATACGAGAGGGCGTATAGAAGTTTGTGAAATAGAATGTGTGACTTCTGGGTTAGTCTGCACTGTGAGGTTTTCATTAGTGGAGTAATGATGGATGAATACCATTTGGCGGACACAAGAAGGCTGGATATGAAGTCTTTGGCTTCCTCTGACACATTCTCGAATGCCTCCGTGTCAAATTCCCACTTGGCGTGCAGAATGTTGTTCATTGTTTCTGCGTCGTTGTCACCCATGAATGGAGAAAGGCCACTCAAACTGAAAAAATGAAATCACAGAGAGTGAAAATAACTTAAATCTGTTCACCCTTAGTTTTAAGCTTTTCAAGGTATGATGTGAAGAAGCAATTATGGGCAAAAGGTGCACTCGTTTCTTTTGTGCTGTTCTGGTCTATTTCTGAAATGTGCATAATTCACAGCACCGTGAATGTTGCTAGAATATAATTGATCAATTAGTCAGAAAAACTTTCTTTTTCTTCATTTGCATGTTTAGTTTACGGTCATTATCTTAATAAATATCTACACTTAAAGGGCACCTGTGATTAAAAATCAGCTTTTGGAAGCTGTTTGGACAAATCTGACTGTAGGTATAGTGTCCACTGTCATATTGGAGTGATAGAAACACAAGTCTCTCTTTTTTTTTTTTCTTTCAATTGCCTGATGTTTAAAAATGATCCAAATCCCCGTGATTTTTGAGGCCCACCGCATTGTGACGTAGGTTTTCCCCACCCTCTGAATTAATTGACAAGTGCCATGTTTATATAATAACATGTTTATATATTTTGCAAATAAACTGGGATTAATTTATCTGGTCCAACTCTCTGTGGTTTTTATAAGTTTAAAACGTTTTTAAAACAGATTATGTTTGTTAAAGAGAGTAAAACCACTGTGTTCGATTCTTACACACGCGAATGTGTCAGATTGGAAACACAAGTTCGTCTGTTAAGTTTTGCAGTTCGCTGGGTTGGAAAGCTCAAGCTAAGTGAACTCTGACCTGCGAAAACGCATCACTGGACTGTGCAAGACCAATCGCGGATCAAAACATGACCTCTTTGGACAGAAATCTAAAACATGGACCAATCACTCGCACAATAAAATGTTTAATCACTCCCTTCTTTGCACCCCTGTACTACAGAATTTCGTAAGCTCAAACTCTAGTGTGACCGCAGCATAATTCTAACTGCTATAATCACCACAGCTGCATGGTATCAGTAAACGCCAAAATATGTGTGTGTGTCTCCTGTACTGCAAATGACATTTGTGTGAGACTCTTCATTTAAGAAAGGCTTGAATAAAATCCACCACAAATACATGAAGTGAACCTACTTAGTAATTTGGACTAAGCTGTCTTTCAGCTTCATCCGAGTCTGTCTCTGTCGCATGATGAGAAGCAGAGATGCATGTGGGAACGGTGGGCGGAGAGAAGCAGCTCATTTGCATTTAAAGCTGCAGGCTACAAAAACAGCTACACTAAACTCGGACACTAAAATGGGCAGATTCTGAGGCTATAATAAATTATCTGATAAGTATTTTGAGCTGAAACTTTACAGACACATTTTGGAGATACCAAAGGCTTAACTTGCATCTTGTAGGAGTAAAATAGGTGCCATTTAAGTTTAATTTTGTAAACAGTGTTTACATTCACAATATCTCATTCATTAACTGTGTTAACGAATTAAGCCATACTAAAAAAATAAAAATAAAAGTACATTATTATGCAACATATATACTTTTAAATTGCTGGGTTGTTTCAACTCAAACTGGGTCATGTTTTGCATTTTAACTGCCCCATCAAGAAAAAACTTTGGATTGCATTTCCCAATGTTGCTAGTTAACACACTCAATGCATTTTTTTTACACACATCCCATAATTTCTAAAATATCAACCTCCACCAAATGGTTGATATGTCGGTTTATTGTAAAAATATCGGAATTAATAGATATACAGTGCTCAGCATAATTGAGTACACAGCATTTTGAAAAATTAATGCTTTTATCAATTTCTCAGTGAATATGGGTAATATATATTCGTGCATTTGAACAAAACAGATTTATTAAACAGATCTGTTTATTAAAATAATATCTTAGTCAAATGGAAGGATAATACAATTAAATTACTGCCAAACATTGCAAAAAAATTTACAAACTACAATTTTTCAACAAAATTGTATATATTTTTTGTTTCTCTTTATTTTTGCTATTTTTGAAAATGTTATTGGATCTTTTTCTTAAACAAATTTGGCCTCTAATATTTTAACAATTATTGTTTTGTTAAAAAAGCTCCAGGTTTGGCTTCAGTACTGACTAAACTCATGTATATGCACAAATATAATATTGTAAAGCTTCCTATTGAAAATATATACATTTAAATATGAGATTTGTGAGGGGTGAACTCGTATATGGTGAGCACTGTACTATGAACAAGAAAATATGAAGCGGAAGACCAATTTATTAAAAAAAATCAAAATAAAACATGTTTAAACACTAAATCATCTTTGTTTTATTAAGTTTGCCATAAAATATTTCAGATTCATTTAACACGTTTTTGTATGTGTTTTACAATAAGTTTGATTGATATTTTCTCATAAATCAACAATGCTGTGTGTGTGTCAGCCATTATTTAATACAAGCAGTCATTATTTAAAAAAAAAAACAATGGTCAACCATTTGGTAGAGCAGGCAGTTTTAGACAAATCCTACACTGCATTCTTTTTTTAAGTCATATTGTTACTCAACTTTTTTTGTTTGTCCATATTTTACCCAAATTGACCCAAGTTTTTTTTTTATAGTAAAGTGTTTTCAAAATGAGGACAACAACAGGTGCAGTGATATAACTGGACAATAACACAATTATGTGCTTGCGTGTACTTTAAATAAAAAGCTATAAATAAACTAATTCACTGCGTGCTTGAGTCCTGACTGGTGTTCGGTTCTCCGGGAAGTGTGAAGTGGGTGAAACTTATATTCTCTGGATGGGCAAGCCCTCGTAAATCTCCAGCAACAGCTGTCAGGTAATTAGCACAGATTCAATCATTGAGGCCTTTTCGCTATTGGCTAGAGCAGACGGTCATGTATAGCCAGCGGACAGCAGAGTGTTGAAGGCACAGGATCAGAGATGGGACATTCTGTTTGCTTGTGTGTATGTGTGCTGTTTTTTTTTTTTTTTTTTTTTTTTTTTTTTTTGGAGCAGCAGGCCAGGGTCGGTAAAATGCTTTCTGAGCTGTAAGGCACTGGTGCCCTTTTATCAGGGCTCTGTTGAATGCTCTTAGATGAGCCCTATAAAGCTTTCATGGGTGTCGCATTTGCATTTGGCTTTTGATCTCTTTGATATTTTACTCAGGAGTCTGTGCCACTAAGCAGTTCAGTGTAGAAATAAAGAAAACCTTTCCTACTATTAATAATTAATACATAAACACATTTCAGAATGTTTGATTTAGGCTCTTTAATGTTAATCTTTTAAATTCTGTTAAAGGTAGTCAGAATAACCGTTTACAAGAACCTGCATGAATAGGTCTGTGTGTAGTTGTGTACTCACAGCATGTAAGTGATGACACCAACACTCCACATGTCTGTAGGAAATGACACAAAGTCATAGTTGACAACTTCTGGTGCCAGAAACTCTGGGGTACCAAAGTTGACCTTCAGCTTTTCCCTGGGCCTGTACCTGGTGGGAGTGATAAACACAATTTGCAGATTTGTTTTTGCATTTTGTATCATAAATAGTGGAAATCAACACGATTAGCCCAAATGTTGTTATTATTAGACATTTAATTTCAGCTTTGTTATTTAATAGGTAGCTAAATTATTATTTTTTCAACACATAATTAAATAAGAGTTTTAGTAACTAATTTCTAATACAATGGTCCCTTGCTATAATGCGGTTCATCTTTTGCAGCCTTGCAGTTTTGCTCAGCTCTAAGCACAGCTAGATTTTCAGCCATTGATGAACTTCCGGGGAAAGTTTTATGCAACTATTTTCAGTTTCATAAGATTCCTTTTACAGCATCAATGTTGTCATGTAATTGAAATATAATCAGTTAAATAGACTTAAGCATTTATTTGGTTTTTAAAGCGTAAAATGAGACGAAAACCGGTTTAAACTTATGGAGCGTCATTAGCAACAGGCTAGCGCAAAAACTATTGAAAAAACTGAGGTAAAATTAATTTCCGTATTTTAAAGACATGGCATGGAAAATTTTATGCAGTGCTTTTTGTCTAAGATATCATGTCACATCTCAGGCAGGCAGTGATAATCACTGTTTTTAAAGGAATCAGATCTTCAACACAGCGATTTTTTTTTTTTTTTTTATGTATTTATTTATTTTTTTTTTTTTGTATGGAATTACAATTCACCCGAAGCCCTGGGGCTGTCTGACTGAAGTTAAAAGTCTGTGTGCAAATACTGCAAGTGTTCTGCACATTGTGTTCTGTGTCCTGACTGACTGTAGACCATTGTCAATTAATCTCCTCTGTCCCGTGTCTCTTGTACAGTAGAGAATGCATTCAGCTTGCCAAATTTGCATAAATCTTTAATCTCTCGCACTGTGGCTCTAAAGTGCCGTACTATGTTTGATAGTTTACTCCTTAACAAACCCCACAATGTTGACAAAACATTCTGCACTGTCAAAGGCACCTACAGTAGAGGAAGATGCTAACCATTGCACAAAAGGTTGGACTTCTGGACAAAGAAAGCTAGAAGTTGCGTGGCTGTAGGGTGCAATTACGGAATAAACTAATCTTCGGTTTGTTATATAAGAAGGAGCAAATGTTTGGCCCTGGACTTAAAATACTACTTACTATAATACTGAACTTATTTTCTACAAAGGTTTGGTCTTTGAGAGTGTTTAAACAAGAGAGAAAAGTGTTAAGATATTAATGCCTGTCTGAGAAAAGTGTATGACCTATTGTGTAGTGTAGTGAGGCGTTTAATAACTTTAAAACATCTATAATAATTGTAATAAATAAAGCCTACAACTTTTTGGATTTCGCCTATTGCGGGTTATTTTTAGAATGTAACTCCTGCGATTTAACAAGGGACCACTGTAACTCATTTGTCTTTTGCTTTTATAGGAGAAAAGAGTTTACAAGTTATTTTGCAAGGTACTAGTCAGTTTAAAGTACAATTTAAAGACTTAACTAGGTTATTATATTGAGTATAAGCAAGTTAGGATTGTGTTATATTAAGTACGTCAGTTAGGTATTAGGTAAGTTATAGCACAACAATGGTTAATTCTGTAGCCGATCAAAAATTTCTTAAGGGGCTAATAATATTGACCTTAAAATGAAAAACAAATAAATAAATAAATAATGTTTTTATTCCAGCCAAGAAAAATATACTCCAAATAAAAAAATGATTATCGGAAGTACTGTGAAAATGTCCTTGCTACATTAAACATCACTTGAAAAATATTAATAAAAATAATTTCACAGAAGCGCCAAAATGTACTATTAAATTTATTTAACGTTTTTACATAATTTAAACTTTACACATGAAAAATAAATCAATAAAACTGACTCATATTTACTAACTGATCATTCTAGATTCATTTAACAAACTTTGATAACCTGGACAACCTATTGAAATGAGCAGAGCTTTATAGATTACATAAAAAGACACCCAAATCCACATTTTACCCTATACAATGGAAAATCCATCTGGCTTTCTATCCGAGCAATCCGCCTTTAATGATGCCAACCGAGGCACACATTAGCTCAGCGCAACATTGTTCATGAAAGAACAGATCTGTGCCATCTACCTCCACTCACTCATGCAGATTTGTGTTCCTTTCATAAATCTGACGTGTGTTTTTGAGTGGCATCCCATGGTGACTAAACAAAAAGGCTGAAAATCACTTTCCAGAGCCTTCACATTCACTGTGACTCAGCGGTAGAACTCCACCAAAATGAATCCCTCTCCACTTTCAGACAACACACAAGACTCCTCTGAACAACTGACTCATGCAATACTTGAAAAAGCTCTACTTCTTTCCTCCTTTCTTTCTGTTGTTCCACTGAGAGTCCTCTGCACTTTTCTTTAGTGCATCGCTGTGCAACACTGCCACTTCTCCTGTGTCTCGGTAGCATGCTTTGCTTTTGTTATAGCATTTCCTCATTCTTATTTGGATAAAAGTTTCTTCTAAATGGAAAAAAATGTACCCAGTACGGAGGTAATGCAAAATAAAACATATGCTGAAGTCCCAGTATAAGCTTATGCAAGTTACGGGTTGGTTACATTTTGACTTTAAAGTTTAAACTAAATGAAAATGTAAACAAAGAGAGCAGATGAACGCTGAAGGAATGTGACTGTAGTTGTGCACGGTGTCTGGAGAAATCAGAAGAGGCGATCTCAGCTAAGAGCGTAAGGAGTATGATCTTAAAAATAAAGCTTACAAACCAGAGTGATGCCATAGAAGAACCATTTTTGGAAGAACCATTCAGTTTCTTATTGTGGAGAACATTTTATTAATGTAAAAAACTTTTTTTACGGTAAAGAGTTTTATGGATGTAAATATGAAACTGTAGATGCTGCTGAAATAAAAAGGTGCCCCATTTGCACATACAGTTTAAGTCAGAATTAATACCCCCCCCCAATTATTAGACTCCCTGCTAATTTTTTCCCCAATTTCAGTTTAACAGAGAGAATATTTTTTCAACACATTTCTAATCATAATAGTTTTAATAACTCATTTCTAATAACTGATTTATTTTATCTTTGCCATGATGACAGTAAATAATATTGGACTAGATATTTTTCAAGACACTTCTATACATGACATTTAAAGGCTTACCTAGGCTAATTAGGGTAACTAGGCAGGTTAGGGTAACTAGGCAAGTTATTGTGTAATGATGGTTTGTTCTGTAGACTATTGGAAAAAATTTATTTTAAAGGAGCTAATCATTTTGTCCTAAAATTGTATTTAAAAAAAAAAATCAAAACAGAAGAAAAAATATTATCAGACATACTGTGAAGATTTCCTGAATCTGTTAAACATCTTTTAAGAAATATTTAAAAAAGAAAAAAAAATTCAAAGGGGGGCTAATAATTCTGACATCAACTTTATATGAAAAGTTATGTTAGTATTCATAAGCCTATATTTAAAGGTCTGCTTACTTTCTGGCGAGTCCAAAGTCAATGATCTTGATTTGATTGCCTGTGCTGTTCACACATAAGATATTTTCCGGCTATATTCAGAAAAAAAAAAATCACATTAGGAAGAAATAAACAATAAAAAAGTGACACAATACCACAAAACCAGTCTTGTGTTGTATATTTGCGGGAATAGAAAACAAAATACAGTATATAGTGTAAATATTATTTTTCTTTTTTTATACTAGAAATCATCAGTATTTTAAAGGTGCTGTAGGTGATTGTCTTCAGAAACATTTTGTGTTGTGCTGGTTGAAGGTCTCTTCACATTCCAATAGTAATGATCAAATGTGTTTATATGTATTTTTTAGATTCTGGGAAAGGCATAAGACTAAAAAATGTTCATCCAATTAAAATGTGAATAATAGGCCAAAAATTCCTCTAATTCTGATAAGTAGCCCAAACTGTTTGTCAGCAAAGATTTGAACAACTGTGCACCTCTGTTCATGCGATTTCAGACGGAGTGGCTTTAGACGACATGGGAGAGATTGTATTTGAAAGATATTATGCTAACCGGTTAGCATTTAGGCAGATCACTTATAAAGATTATGATGTACCATGAAGATATTTTGGAAATGTCTTTGTTTAAATTGATCTAAACTTAATTTACATCTTTACTGTTTTTTACAGTGTAGATTGTTTCAGAGCAGCTTAAGATAGATTAAGAAAATTCCAGCAATTCAGGCAGACAGAAAGACCAGTGTAGAATGCTGCTGTAGTTCCATTACATTAAAACGGCTTCAGTTCAGTTTAGTATAAATGTCACTGTTGAAGTTCTGTTCAGTTTATTTCAGAGCAGTGTAATGCAAAAGTCACTCCTGAAGGCACTGATCCATTGAACACTTTTTCGTCTCTGGATAAATGTCTTGTGCTTGATTAGACAATTACTGGTTTTGTGGTCCATGAGTAAAAATTTGTAAAAGCATTAGTATTTCAAACTGAATATAGGATTCAAATATAAAGGACTATACCTCCAAACTCACAATTTGCCTTTTCTGTAGCCAATCAAAGAATTGGCTAATAATAATGACCTTAAAATGGAAAGATTAAAAATGCTTTTATTCCAGTCGAGCTGAAAAAAAAAAAAACTTTCTCCAAATGAATAAAAAGGAAATAATTTGAACGTTTAATTTCCTTGCTCTGTTAAACCTCACTTGGGAATTAAAAATAAAGAATAATAATTTCACAGGAGCGCTAATAAATTTCAGGTAGGCAGAAAGAGTAGTGTAGTGTTGATGTAGTTTTATTAAATTAAAGCGGGTTCAATTTCATATAAATGTCACTGTTGAAGTTCCGTTCAGTTTATTTCAGATCCGTGTAAAGCAAAAGTCACTGCTGAAGGCACTGATCCACTGAACAATAGACTATTTCATCTCTGTGCAAACGTCTTGTGCTTGATTAGCAATTTTCATTGCTGAGCACTTGATTTGGACTTTAAAGTTGATTTCTCAGTATTTGATTTATTTTTTGAGCCCTCCGATACCTGATTTAGTTCCTAAATAGTTGTATTTCAGCCATATCTTGAATTTTAAAAAAGCTGCTTATGACTGGTTTTGTGGTCCATATGTAAAAGCATTAGCATTTCAATCTATAGGATTTAAATATAAAGGACAATGCCAACAAACGCAGATTTACTTTTTCTGTAGCCAATCAAAAAAATCTTAAAGGGGCTAATAGCATTGACCTTAAAATGGAAAAAGAAAAATTAATAAATGCTTTTATTCCAGTCAAGCTAAAAAATACTTTCTCCAAATGAAAAACTAGGAAATACTAAGAATATTTTCTTGCTCACTTGAAAAAAAAGAATAATTATTTTACAGGAGCGCAGACAGGCAGAAAGAGTCATGTAATGTTGGTGTAGTTCTAGTTCTAGGAAAATAAAGTAGGTTCTGTTCAGTTTATTTTAGATCAGTGTAAAAAGGTCACTGCTGAAGGCACTGATCAACTGAACACTGGACTATTTCTACTCTGGGCAAACGTCTTGTGCTTGATTAACAATTTTCATTGCTGAGCACTTGATTTGGACTTTAAAGTGGATTTTTTAGTGTTTCATTTATTTTTTAGAACCCTCCGATTTCTGATTTATTTCCTAAATAGTTGTATCTCAGCCAAAAAAAATTAACCATACCCTAATGAAAAGACCATGTTTAAATACTGAATTAAAAAAGACACTCATGACTGGTTTTGTGGTCCATGTGTAAAAGCATTAGTATTTCAAACTAAATACAGGATTCAATGTTATAAAGACAAAACCACCAAACTCACAATTTACATTTACATACATAATTGATGTGGATTGGTGCTGTTGCATATGGTAAACATTCCAGATTGCTGCATAACATGTTAACAGCAACACAAGGCACGAGTCCTTTAGTGCTATGCTAATTAAAATGTACGACATTCAGACGGCTGATGTTGACATACATGGCTGATTCATTGGTAGATTTTTCCATAGAGCTACTTGACACTATGCACTGCTAATCCCGTCAGTATCACGTTAAAGCATTCAGTTCGTTCTGTGAGGTTTACCTTAAGATCTAAATGGAGAATGTACTGCTGGTGAAGGTACTGAACCCCTTCGCAAATCTGCCTGGTAAACACGATGGCATCCAGCTCCGTCAGCTGGTAACTCTCATCAATGATTCGTTCAAACAATTCGCCGCCCTCCACGCTGCAATAACAAACCATGGACAGATATTTTGGAATGAAGCATCATGTTATCTCCTCTCTATTAGTTCACTGTGAACATGTGTATTGACGTATTCACTTGAGGATGCCAACTTAAGTAAAACAGAATTTTAAGACTCATAATAGAACCTATTCTTTTGAGAAGCTATTGTTATCTATGGTTGTGTCTTGCATTACAAATAATAACATTTGCTCAAAGATTTCTTCATACAATTAAATGCATTTGTCTGCGAATTCAAAGCCATCAAACAAATGTGAATGTAATCTGTGGACAAGGCAGGAAGATGACGCACCATCATGGCTGTGTAAAGTGGCATGTGTGGGAGCGCAGTGTTCTTGCGACAGAATGTGAAGATCAGTCCAGGAGAGAGAATTTGATTTGCAAATAAGGCCTAATGAATACGATCAGCAGCCACTAATCAGGCAGAAGAATTAATGTAGAACAATAAGTCACACTTTTTTTTTTTTTTTTTTTTTTTTTTACAATAACACATTGTATTGAGAAGTGTTTTAGAGTTGAAGTAAAATGTCTGGGAATGTAGTAGTGTAATTAATACACAGTGTAATCACAATGCACAATAGCTACTGATTATAGAGTGTTTTAGAGATATTTAAATGCATCTTTCTAGTATTTGGAAATAGTCACTTCAACGTGGTCTGTACTTACTATTCCATAATGAGTGTGAGGTTTGTTCGAGACTCAAAAGCATCATATAATTGAATCAAGTTCACGTGATTTAGCTGGTTCATGACTCCAATCTCATTCTTCACTTCATCCTGGAATGAAAGCACAAAATTGTAAATTAATACATGAAAAGGATAAAATTAGCAAATTAATACCAAATGTAACTAATACATAACGTCAAAATCAACAAAAAGAATGTTGGAAAAAAGCAACCATTGGCACCCATAGAAGAAACAAAAAAAAAATACTATCAAAGTCAACATCAGTTTCTTTTCCCCCAACATCAGTATATCTTCCTTTCTGTTCAATAGAAGAAAGACTTTCAAACAAGTGGAGGATGAGTAATGATGACAGAACAATAGGTGAACTATCTCTTTTAGGGTAAAAGGGTCATGCACTAAGGTTAGGGTTGTTCATTTTGTTAATATTATTATTGAATGACAACTGTTTCTCATTAAACAATAATTAATAGGGAAAATAGACTGTTTAATGACCATTAAAAAAAATAATACAACCATGCTGTTTTATCAAAATTATATATGTAAAGACTAAAGTAAATATGACTACATGAAAGGATTTACTGAAATAAGTGTCTTCTTAATGACCAAAAATAACCAGCAATATAATTTGATGATTATAATTTTTTAAATGTAGGTGACGCTGTTAACATTTTGAGTTGTGTGGTCAGTGTGAGATCACAATAATGCACAAACTTTGGTGTCAAAATTTCAAAGCTTTGCAGAGATATGCAGGATGGAGTTTGGCAAAATCTAACTCGGGGGTTCACAAACTTTTCTGGCCACGACCCCCAAGATAACAATGCCAGTGACTCATGACCCCTAATATCCTCTGAGGTGGTTATAAATTATATAAACCTTGCACACAACAGTGCACACACACCAATAGACCCAAGTCTATTCATCGTTCAAACAGGAGTGCCGTAAAGGTGCCAAAGTATAACTGGTTTCTATAAAATCAATCTGCTACATCTGATGCTATTGCTGTGTATTTAATTTAATGTAATCGTTGTAGGAGTTGCAAAAAAAGGAAACAGAAAGGCGGATGGCTTTTTACTTGTTTTTTATGTAACTATTACCTACATTTTATTTTCTTCTGTACATTATGGATAAAAATATCGTAATTCTAAAAGTTTAATAAAGTGAATTAGATTTTTGGAAATCACCAAAGCGACCCTCCCTCATTGTCTTGCGACCCTCTGGGTAGTCCCGACCCCCATTTTGGGAACCGCTAATCTAAAAATACGAAACACAAAAAACTTTTGTGATGAGCATTGTAATTTTTCATCTAAGAAATTTAAGAGGGGTCTGGCTGCAGACCTGGTGCAGAGCAATCTGAGCTGCATCCAATGCTTTTTAATGGGCTCACCTAACCCCAACCCTAAACCTGCCCCTCATGGTGACGTCACTTGCTCCATTTTAGTGCATTGTGTCTGAGATTGCATCGCTGAGTTATGCAATCTCAGCTTGCATCATAAAAGCTGCATCCAGATATTCTTGAGAAATTTTAATCAAACAATTTTTCATATTTCCTTACAAGTAGATGACACTGCTGTAACCACAAGTCATGTTTGACATAACTTTCAGTCATGTGACCTGTAGGGAGAACTGCTGGGAAAAAATAATGGGTTGTAATTGCAGCTACACTGTTATCTCCGTAGAATTGGAGAAGTGTCTGGCTGCAGACCGGTTGCACAATGCTTTGCATACAACTAACCTCACCCCTTACAGTGACATCAACAGCTTTATTGAGTGCATGTGTCTGAGATTGCAAGTCTGCAGCCAGATACTATTGTAGAAAAGCAGCATAAACTGGTCATATTTCCATCTGATTCAAGCTATGAATAATTGGATAACAAATTAACAGAATAAAACAAAGATATGATCACAAACTGTAATTTGTGGGCAATTGTGAATTATATTCTGCTGCCGTTTTTAAGCCATTTAAAAGCCCCATTGTCTGTTTTTTGGCCTAAAAAACTTTATTGCTCAGCTCATGATTGGGCAGTCAGCGGGAGATAGTAATTATTTGCTCACCAGAGGGGCGTTCCCACAACACGTGTGAAAACTATCAACATAACCTTGCAAATATATTGCCTCATGTCTATTTGCCAAGCTCTTAGTCTCTTTGTGTGTAAATGGAGAATAGCTTGACTAATCGACTCAAATACGGTCATTTTTGTTAGCATTGCGTTGAAATCACCTGGCTAGGTTTTAGAGAAAATCATTAGTCAATTTTTAATGACAGTGTTGTCCGAAGATTCTGAAAGTTATGCTATGGACACAGTGCTATCCCATGAGCCCATGGGAGTGAAGCCATAACTGACACATGTAAGGTATATGTTATTGACAATCTAGTGGGTGTAGATATTGATAAACTTCTGGTGAAAGCTTTATGTGACTATTTTCAATTTCATAAGGTTCCTTTGACAGCATCGATGTTGACATGTAATTAAAATATAATCAGTGAAATAAACCTAAGCATTCACTTAAGCAGGGGTGTCCAAACTCTGTTCTGGAGGGCCAGTGTCCTGTATATTTTAGTTCCAACCCCAATTAAACACATCTGAACCAGCTAATCAAGCTATTTCTTGGTATACAAAAAACATTCAGACAGGTGTGTGAAAGGAAGTTGGAGCTAAACTATGCAGGACACCGGTCCTCCAGGACCGAGTTTGGACACCCCTGGTTTAAAGCATAAAAAGACGAAAGACCATTTAAACGCTGGCGCCGTCATTAGCAGCAGAAACTACATTGCAAATACTGGAGTAAAATTAATTTCCATATTTTAAAGACATGGCTTGGAATATATATATATATATATATATATATATATATATATATATATATATATATATATATATATATATATTAAAGGGTGTTTTTAATGTATAACTTCTATAAACTTGTAATGTATATGATTTGGTTATAACACCTCTCCAATCCAGTTCTATGAATCTGAGTCCTCCATAATACACACACTTATTAATGATTCCTACTTGTCTTCCTCGTGATGAAGAGTAGGCAAAATCTGATATGTAGTGGGGAAAAAAGAAGAACGTGTTTATCAGACGCTAGATTTGAACTGGGTTCATGATTGATTGCATCAAAACATGTTGCCATGCGGTTGCGAGCTACACCATTCACGCTGCTGTCATTTGCACTCTTTACTTATGTTGTCACTGTCAATCAAATGGTTGATGGGCGTGAATCACTCAGCTAGCTTATTCCAACGAGGTGTGCTATTTGCACTTAATCTAAACAGACACTCCAAAATCTGCATTTTCCCCCCATGCAGGGGCACCAAGTGTGCACAGGTCCCTGGGCCTGTGCCCATTGGTTAATCTGGCCCTGCCAGATACACAACATTACTGTGTGACTAAGGTGATACTTTCCAGGTTTCTTCCCACTACAGCCTCAATTTTGCTTTTTAAATGGCAGCCAGATGAAATCTGTCTATACAAAACGCAACTGAATCATTACTAGCCAAAGATTAAAAAAAATTAGCTTTTAACCCTTTACGTTTTAATCAATGGCCTACTGAGACTCAAGAGCACTAACAAATTAAACAGGCGCCCACGCACCGTCTGTGCCTGGCCCTTAATGAATGATCAGTTACAATGCGTTTCTTTTTCACACAGCTGTTTAAAACCTATATTTTAAGCTTTTGCATTAGTGTTGTTAGACTCTCCATGGCAGTAGTGTTAAAAAGTAGGTCATTAGTAAGAGAGAAGCTGTTTCAGAATTTAAATTGTGCTTTTAAATTGCTGCAAGGGGATTTACAATCATTGCACAGGGTATAACAAAAACAAGGATTTAAACAGTTTTCGAAATGGGGGCATGACAGCCTTTGCAACCATATAATTGCCTGCCCTCATTACTCTGGCTCTTCCTGACCACTCTTCTGCAGGCTGACCCAGGAAGAGCATTCAATTACCCCATGAAGCTCTCTCTCTCTCTCTCTCTCTCTCTCTCTCTCTCTCTCTCTCTCTCTCTCTCTCTCTCTCTCTCTCTCTCCCCCTATAAGAGATATATATATATATATATATATATATATATATATATATATATCTTTCTCTCTCTGGTGTACTTTGGGGCAGAGATGGTGTTCATGCTGTCACCAGGAAATGCAAATGTTCAAGGAATGCCTCCATAGAGAGAACGAGCACTGGATGTGATTGCGAGTCGACTCCTTTTGCTCCATTGACATTTGTGTCAAACGGAAGGAATTAAAATGAGAGAGTGAAAACGATCTGCATTTGCTCATTCCTGTCTGATAGCTCTCTAATGGTGGCAACAGACAGATCAGAGGGCAGAGAATGGCACTGCACTGAGGGCAAGTGCTTCTGACAGAAGAGCTGTCATTAGATGTAATTAGCAGCACTTACTAAAGCACGGAGGATGTTTGGGAACTGATGAGAGGACATTCAATTCAGTGCAAAGATATTTAGATTTTGCATTATATAAAAACAGCTCAACATTTGGAGCGCTGTATAAATATTTCATGCCTTTATGTTCGAATGTTTTGTTCCATATATACTTGAGGGATTATGGGAAGTGTTAAGTGGAAGAGCACGTGTGAACGTGTGCGTATTTTTCATATGCTCAAATGCGCAGAACTGTCAGTGGTTGTCAAGGAAATGTTCTCAAAAAGCAACCTAACAGGAACAGAGTGATGGACAGATTGGAGTGGGAGAGGAGAGAAAGATATAGGGCAAGGGAGGGGGGAAAACATTTGTGAAGCACTAATGTGTTGTGTATGCTTTGTACTCACCCTTTCTTTCATTCCGCGGACTTTTATTATCTTAGCGGCCAGCGTAAGACCTGACGATAGCTCTGCGCACTTGTGTACCTGTCCAAATCGGCCTCTGCAACAACACACATGCCAAGAGAGATTTCATTTCATGGATTATGGAAATCACTCCAACCTTTGTGGAAGCTATCTGTCACTGTTTGTTATTTCTCCTCTTGCTGAGTTGCTGTGTGTTTACTGTGTCTCCATGAGGTGAACTGTGTGTGTGTGACAAGATGTCTGCTGCTGGCTCAAAATAATTCCCATGCAAACAGACCTGCTCGACACCTGCCCGAAATAAACTCGGCCAGTGATGAGTCAAACACAAGCCAGTGGTTATTTGTGGTGTTGTATGTGGAGCAGTGGTGGAGAGGAGGTGCAAATGAGCAGCGTGTGTACCAGTCATTCAGTGTGTGCTATATGTTCCTCATGGGTAGTGCCTTCGTGCTTATCTGCCTGTCCTGGGAAGAAAGGTACACTAAAACCCCCTTCAACTACTTGTGTGCTGCTCTAATGTTAACTAGGAAAATACAATGTTCCAAAAGAAATTTATTAGACAGCATCATATTTAGGGGCGACGCAGTGGCGCAGTAGGTATTGCTGTCGCCTCACAGCCAGAAGTTTGCTGGTTCGAACCCTGGCTCAGTTGGCATTTCTGTGTGGAGTTTGCATGTTCTCCCTGTGTTTGTGTGGATTTCCTACGGGTGCTTCGGTTTCCCCCACAGTCCAAAGATTTGCGATACAGGTGAATTGGGTAAGCTAAATTATCCATAGTGTATCTATGAGTGCGTATGGGCTCCCCAGTGATGGGATGCGGCTGGAAGGGCATCCGCTGCGTAAAAACATATGCTGGATAAGTTGGCGGTTCATTCTGCTGTGGCGACCCCAGATTAATAAAGGGACTAAGCTGAAAAGAAAATAAACGAATCACATTTACCTTGCTTTCCAACTAACTCATAATTACTTGATTAAAAGTATGATATAAATAGTTTTTTTTTCTATTGATTTCTTGTTTTGAAGGGGTGGTTCACTATGATAGCTACATTACACATCAACTAAAGTATAAAATATGATGTGTGAACATAACATCTTCAAATCTGATATGCTTAAAGTTGAATGCAAAGGGAAAGATGGGCTTTTACAGAGTTAAAGATCGTACACAACGTGACGCTTTTCGCTTGCAATATCGTCAGCGTTTTACAAGACGCTTTTCCGCATTCAAACCCAAGCAAATTTCACTGGTGTCAAGCAGAAGATTATGCAAAATCACTCCTTGATGTTAGATGGCGCTACATAACTTTAAGTTTCTTTGTAACACAGAAGAAGAAGGCAAGTTAACACGCTTGTTGTTATGGATAGTTCAAGTAGCAACTCCAGCTCTAGTGATGAAGAAATGATTAATGTATACCAGGCCAATAAGCAGCTCCTCTTTCATATCGCCTCTGGGCATCTTTTTCAATGTGCGCTCGCATTGACAGTTTTGCGCTTGTGCGCCTTCAAGTGCTATTTACTGTAACTTCAGCAGCTCTGTGCACGTGAACAAAAATGCTGATCTGATTGGAGGAGATCTGATTGGCTCGTTTTTTAAAACAAAACAAGCATGAGGCATTTTTTCTAAAAAAATTTTTGCGTCTGCCGATTTGCGCGTTAATGTGCACGATTACATTGACGCCCTTTATTTAGTCATGAGGCGTTGAACTTCGACGGAAAACGCGAACAAAAAACGTTGCAGTGTGCACGGGCCTTTAAGCTGTGGTCGAACTGGCTTGCTCATGCAACACGATTCACAGTTTGCTGCGTTGCAAAGTTCAAGCTTGGTAAACTCTGACCTTTGAAATAACGTAACTGTGACCAAATGAGGATCAAAACATGACCTCTATGGACAGAAATGTAACACATGGACCAATCGCTCGCTTTTTTAAATGTCTAATATTTTGTTTAATCCCACCCCTTTTCGCAGCACCATACTACAGAATGTTGTATACTTAACTCAAGTGTGACCGCAGCATTAGCCTAACAAAGCCTACAGTCTAACCCTTAAGTTTACATTGTTGCCAGATATAGCTGACTTTTTCCAGCCCAAAAGCTCTCCAAAACCCACCAAAGCATTATTAATCTAGGGCCGCCACAGCTGAATGAACCACCAACTTAAACAACATTAATTTTAATGCAGCAGATGCCTTTCCAGCTGCAAGCCATCACTGGGGAAATATTAGAGTAATATTTTATTTAATTTTAATTGGTTTAAGTCTAAATTAATCTAGATACTTTAACTGTTTAAGTTTTTAACCATAAGCTACAGCAACCAACACCAGCAGTCACAGAACCACAACATAACTGCATCACATTGAAACACTGCCCCTTCTCACCCCCACACACTCTGTGTAATTACACTACCTATTACAGTATGTTTTACTTTAGAAATGGGGTGTAAATTTGTCCTAAATGGCATTTTAAAATATTTTGCACATAATTAGGTGCTGCTTGTCAATCAGACAACACTTATATGTTTGTTCTTGCTGTCAATTGTAGAAAAAAATTACGATAAAAGTGTTATGATAAATCACTGTGGGTTTAACTGCAGGTGCTGCATGATGAGTGTGCACGCGAAGGGGAGTCAGACCTTCAATTGCGGGTGGCCTCATGCAAACCGTGTAAGGCCACCTGCAATTGGAGGTGATGGAAAGCCTATGTGCTATGCACTGGTCACTACTGACTGAATGGAGTAGGAGCACACAGTGATGTTTTGTTAAATATTTATGTTAAATTGCATATAGACCATTTCAATGTAGTCATGTCATTGGCGCATAAACATAAACTGCTTGTTATTAAACTATTTCATAACTGTAACAAGAGGCAACTCAATCATAACTTAATGTTAAAACAGCTATCATAACATTGTTTATCAATATTTGGTCCTTTTTAGATTCTCAGAAAAATGTAAAAGGCTGGGACCATTGTGTTTGTTTACATCCCTCAAAATGGTCTATAAAAGTTGTGTTTCAAAACCGCCCAAACTTTGTCAACTCGGCAGTACCATCTTTTAGCCACACAATGAAACTTAAAACCTCCCAATCTGGCAACACTGCACACGTTATAGTCGAGAAAGCTAAAATTACTTCCAAACCGTGCTATTTCCACAGAGCTTCTTTTGTTTCTGTATTTGGTCTTTTAAGGACACGAAACAAAGAGAGAAGTGCTTATAGCTTAATTTTAATTATGTTCCAGACAATTATTAAAAAATAAATAGCTAGCATTTGACAAAGGACAGCTTAAAGAATCTCTTTCAGTTCAGTGCTGGATTTGGCTAAAAACTCCTAAGAGAAGGAGCAGCTCCAACCATATAGATGAAGCTGTGGATTGTAAGCCACAACCTGTAAGTATTTTTATTTATTAAAATTGATCTATTACATAGTTCATAGCGTTAATGATATGTTGTAGCAAGGATGTAAACAAGAATGTAAATGATTGTAATTTCATATTTATCTGTCAAACCCCTGTAAACAGCCACAATCTTCTGCAGTGTCTCTCTATGTGGCTGCTTTTAGTGCATTCTACATCTCAAACAACAAACACACGATATGATTTATATTACTTAGGGATGCTTATAAACCATATATATATATATATATATATATATATATATGAAAGACACTTGTTTAGATTTTATTTTAACTAACAGTTGCACTGACTGACAGTCTTTACACAACAGATATCTGAAAAAAATAACATGATTTTTTACAAATGAAGCATTCATGCTATTATTTCCCTTTTATGGAACTTGATAAAATTGATGATACATCTATATATCAATGTTTTTTTGTATGGACACACACACAATCTGTAATATTAAACTGTCATTGTATCTCCAGTCTTTAGATTCATCAACTGCATACTGGTTGGTTATATTAAGCCAGCGGCATTAAATGGCTTTAAAGTGATTCACCAATTATATGAAAAACCTTCTGCAATCATTTATGCCATGGCCTTTTTTTCAGTGGACTGCAAGAAATTGTGTATATGATGACAGAATTTTCATTTTTTTTTTGGTGAATTAACTGCTTATAACACATGGACTTACCCGCCTAGAACCTCGACAGGGTTGACAGCATAATATGAGTTAATGGGAACCTGCTTGGCACTGACAATGCGATGGTCGAATGGGGCTGGCAGAGGTGGGCTGTCATCTAGAAAACGAAAATCAATATGCTTAGAGAATTGCCGACCTATCAACCAAATATAAGATGTAGCATGGTGACAAGCTGAATTTATTAACACTGACATCTCGGACCCAATTTGCACAATGGATAGTTCACCCAGAAATTTAAATTAATTCACCATTTACCATCCTAGTGTGATTTTAAACCTTTATGAGTTACATTTTTTAAACAGCAAAGAATATATTTCGAAGAAATCATGAAATCATTGACACCATAGTAGGGAATACAAATATTACGCAAATCAATGCTAACAGGTTTCCAGCTTTCTTCAAAATATCTTCTTCTGTGTTCAACAGAAGAAAGAAAAACAAATAGTTTTAAACATCAGAAGGGAGAGAAAAAGGTCACATAATGGAGGTTTTTGGGTGAAGTATCCCTTTAATGATTGTGATGAACAATAAGCTGTTTAGCTGTAAGTACAACTGGTGAGGTTATGTTTAAATTCATTAATTATAATAAATCCATCTCTGTGTTGTACGCCTAACTTTCTAGAGTCATTGTTAATTCAGCCTGCATTGCTCTTCATTTCCTAGTGTTAAATAATTTGGCTCAGATCGCATGTACTGCTCATATGACAGGTTGTCGCCTGTTCCAATTTACTGAGCTAAATTAAAGGGTTTGTAACTGAGAATTGGGTTTTTACACCTAAGCCAGTTATTATAACCTATTATTATCATCACAGGCTCCTTTTGAATGTATCAGAATGTGCAACTTGAGCATACAATAAAAGCAGTGTCTGACTCCACATGGGTAGTGCCTGCATGCAAAAAACAACCCATTAGTCAATCAAAATGTACACTGCTGTGAAATTTGACACCTAAAAATAATGATTAATGCAATTGTTAGTTTATTGAGTCAAATCATGCATGCACAGTTATAAAGCTAAAGTGAGTTTTTGTGTTGTTGTAAAATCCCTCAATAAAAAAATAATGGGAAAAGTCCTCTAAATAAAATACTAGTCCCAGATATGTATTCATTTTTGTATAATGTATTTTTTTGTAAATTATTTATCTTGTTTTTCACAGTTCCTATCCTATTAGTACAATGTAAAACTCAAAAGAGTTCAGATAACTCCTCAGATAATTTCCTCATTTGAGGAAACCGATTGCAACAAGCCATTTTATTTAAAACACAAATTCTAATGAGAACTGTGAACTTAATCCATTTGAGTAAACAAAACAATTTGAGCACAGTAAAACTCAATAAATGAAGAGAACTCAAACAAACTGAGTACTGTAAAACAAGTTAAGGAAACTCAAACCATTTGAGATAATCGATTGCAACAAACCATTTAAGTAAAAAACTATCTATATGAGTACTGTGAACTTACTTTGTTTAAGTTGAAGTAATGTGGTATTTTATTAAATCATTACCTTCAACACTGACTTCAAAACTCTTTCCAAATGAGTAGAATTAACTTTCAGTCAATTTTGAATGAACTACACTCATTTCATTTGATAAAGTTGGGTTTTACAGTGTAGTGAGAAATGATCTGGTAACTCACCAATGATCAGCAGTGTCGACTCAACTTTTCTTAGAGGTGCTGCTTTACTTTTCTCATCCTCATCAAGGCTTGTGTTTTGTGGACTAACAGCACAGATCATTATTTTATCAGACTCTAAAGTGACATCTGCATTTTTATTTTCAGTTTTCTCAACATATGTTTCAGTTGGACACTTGCTCTCATCATGTTTTGGCACTGTTGTTTCCATCCCCATTGTCTCTTCGTGTTGTGTTTTAATTCCTGCATGTCTAATAACAGGCTTTTCTATGCAGAGCTCATCTTTTCGAGGAACCTCCTCCATCTTTTTATGAGCTTCATCAATCTTCTTCTCAGCTTTTTCAGGAACATCCACCTTCTCTTCTAGTTGTCTTTGTCCAGGAGCTGACAGATTTAATGAGTCTTCATCTACAACCGGTAAATCCTTTGCCTGTTTTTGAAGAACCTCCATCTTCTTATCTAGGTGTTGTCCAGGAACTGATTTTTCTAACGAATCCTCATCAACAAACAGTGAAACCTCTGCCTGTTGTTGAGGATCCTCAATCTTCTCCAATTGTTGTCCCGGAATTATTGATTTGAGAAAAACCTTATTAGCAACATGTGAATCATCTGCCCGTTCAAGAGCTCTATGAATAATCAGAAAGAACAACCTTTGTTTAGAATTTCAAAGCCAACTATGTACGCGAGTTCTTGATATTTGTAATCAATTGAAAACATGTAATAGGAATCGGGAAACAGAGCACAGTGTGGCTTTATACTGGCTGCACATGAGCGGCTGCTGTAAACAACAGCAAACTCAATAACATCACAAGGCCCTTAATTGTAATGCTTTGAATAAAGCGAAATGGCCTAAAACTCATAATGCCTGGCAACATGCATTCAGTGCCTAGTTATAATACAGCGTAGTGTAATCTCAAGACCTTGGCCATTAGTCTAATGAATTATGTTTTCCTGCAGGCACTACACTGCCCATTATTACAGGCAGAGAGTCTTTTGTGCCCCTATACAAAACACGCCTCTGGCACATTACAAAAACAGAGCTCTTGCTTTATCAGCAGACTACCTTTTAAAACTCTTGTGATACACGAGAAATGCACGGCCTGGTCTTCAGTGTATTGCTGTTCTCGATGGCTGCGATATTTATATTCAGGACTGTATTTATGAGAACTTTTCACTGAAAATGACCAAATGTTACATTTTCAATAAGTGTTATTTTATATGGAAACTTCTATGATGATTACTCCAGCCACTTTAGCAAAGTTAATTACAGTCCTTTGTAAATTTGAAGACATTAATCTTCTGTATGGTGGAGAAAAAAAGTCCATTAGAGTATTAGTGCTCCTCACTGGCATCAACTTCTATATGATTATCTCTAAAGGTGTTCAATTACAATGTTCAATCTACCGTTACATAACCTGTGTCTATTTCAGCCCATAGTAATTTCTGACATTTTCTGCTACAGCCTAAGAAAAACCAACATCGACAGCATCTTTCTTAAAATTAAAGACCAGAGGAAAATTGGACACATTTTGCAGCATTTTGCTTTGAATCATAATCGGCAGCGATTTTCAACAATTTCTCACCTCTCTTGCTGAAGCGCTATATCTTTTTCCACCTTAGTCATTGTCTCAATGACACATTTAGCATCAGCCGGAGCTGCGACCAAGCTGTTCGTCTCTTGCTTAGGGACATTATGCACGTCGATCTGCTCAAGATGGACTGCAGGAGCAAATGTCTGGACATGTGTGGGCTCGCTGCTTTTCACAGAGATCTCTTTGGCCTTTTGTAAGGCTTTTGAGCTTTCCCCTGCACTAACAGGTTTCAGAGGTTCACTTGCCCCTGTATGGGCTTCAGGAGAATGTTGGCTGCTGGGGTCATTAGGAAGAGTGACCTCGGGCTGCTGGAGCTCAAGCTCAGCTGTGGAAAAGCACAGGCTAATATACATTTGGCAAATCTCTGCATTGAAATTCATGAAGAAAATGGCTCTGACATTTCATTTTTCACAAGCTGTCTCATTAATAATGCACATTTACATTTACATAATCTGCTGAAGATATATTTTATTCATACCTGAAATAACTTCTTTAACCTGCTGTGAAGTCTGTGTGCTCTGGTGGCAGAAACCGACGTTTGGTTGAATGTTGTTGACATCTGGCTTGTTTTTCTGTGGAACCAAATGGAGATATAAATATCTACTTTGTGCAGTGCTGAATAAATAAAATGAAACTTTAATTCACACAGCTGTCATCCCAAAAACAAATCCTAAAAAAGGGGTACATTTGTAATAAGACTGTGGTAGAATACTTTAAAACTGAATATTCAGTCATTGTTTAATCTCCCTCCAGTGTTACAAACCTGTTTTGGGTGACCTATCCCTTTAATGATACAAAGTGCAAATAACAGCGCCTTTTAGGCCTTGCATTTTATGTTTTTACCAATTTAATTCAAGCTTTCTGGTAAAATACTTCTGTGAATAATTATATCATAGCAATGACCAAGAAGTGGGTGCGTGTGAATTATAACAATTCATGACGCTTGTGCTGATTATATAAGCGCTATTATTCAACCTGTTTACAGAAATGGAACATGTGCGTCTTCATGCTCGAAAGGGGATTTGCGACAAAAACATTTCATTTTGTAGATTTTGTCATTTTAGTGCAGGAAAAGCTTGGTATAATTACAATGTTTGACAACAGATCTGCTTATTATACACAGCATGGAAGGCTACATTTTCTAGTCTAAGCCAACTATTGCTAAGCTTTACTCTGAAACCAAATGCGCTTGCAATTCGTAATTATGAAAGACATCAATTAACAAAAGCATCCGTCTGTGAGCCACCACTCCAGTGAAAAAGCAAGACAAAATGTGCTGTTCTGAATGAAGCTCTTCTGAGAGCGATATAAGAGAAAAACAAATGAAACACTCATCTACACTCTTTTCTTGATACATGTGAGTAGAAGATGTATTTGTACTAATTCTAAAACTGGGTTAACATATACACAGTCACCATCAGCTCAGGCGCACATCCAGTCTAGGAATTTGAAACACGAGGCCCGTCATAGGCTTCATCATAGATAAAATAGCAACCTTGGTAAAAGGTTAAATTGACCGTAAACTCAACATGCTCACTAACAAGAATAGATCAGCCAACAAATTAACCAGAGTAGAAAACAAACAGAGCAAATAAAAATTAAATAATCAGGTGATCAGATTTCTTAAATGAAAAAACAAATGACAGCAGTTTGAATGTCATGCTACAAGGATAGGTCATCTTTGAAATTCTAAGCAACTAAATAAAATCATAGCAATAAAGTAAAGAAAAAAGTTAGCTAAAATGTAGATGTGTTTAGAATGAAAAGGAGTTTTAAACATTAAAGCAATAAAAGTGTCATGGATTTCCTTTGGTTCTCTGTACTTATTAATGTGTTGTTTATTTGTTTTCTAAAAAATAAAATTAGGACTTTTCCCCTATGATTTACCCGCACTTAAAAAAATGTCTAAGTGCAATAATATTTTATATAACAAGAATCTTGTCAGGCATATTTACAACAAGAATATTTTTATGACACATGAAAATGCTCTTAATTAAAGATTACAGATCAGCCCCAAAACTCTGCTTAAATGTTGTTTTCAAATTTTAAACTCCTTTGCCAGCATGAAGTTTAGGTAAGACTTTATTTTGATGGTCCAGTTGAGAATTACTAGAATGTCTGCTTAATATCTGTTGATACTGCTGCTAAACAGACATTCAACTGACTATAAGAAACTTTGCAAGTACATGTCAACTTACACTAACCCTAACCCCAACCTAACAGTCTACTATTAATCTAATGTGAATTAGTTGGCATGTAGATGCAATGGCATTAAAATTCAAAAAACCGACCGTCAAAATAAAAGTGTGACCAGTTTTGAATCTTACTTGTTCACATTTTCATGGATAGCTGAGGCTAGAAAATAAACAGCTCAGATTTCACCCTATTTTGCAGTATCTGACCGGTTGTACTTAATAGCATACAACCTCTTAGTGATTTTCTGTGAAACTGTGATTTGCTCGTCAGTGTTTGGACTTTCAGCAGAGAAAATTAAACTACATTGAACTGAACTAAACTGAATTTAAACTCTGAACACTGCACTGACACAGTTTCAATTTACTATGATCTTCTATGTGAAGGTGCTTTGACACAATCTACATTGTAAAAGACCTATACAAATAAAGATGAATTGAACTGAATCTCTAATCCTACTGACCTTTTCCTCCACTGTGTCCAGAAGGCCTTGTCTCCTCCATGGCACCACACCATTGAGGATAAACTCTACTATCTTTGAGTTTCGAAATGCATCTCCCACATACCCTAATACTTTCTCCAGAGTGGACAAAGAACTTTCCATGCATTCAATCTTCGTCCTCTGTTGCTGGCTCTCATGCTTTAGATTATGAAGCAGATCCACTGTTTCCCCACAAAGCGATTTGACCTCGGTCAGCAAAGGGAGCTTGCTCTCCCGCTGGCCATTTTTGACAGTGTTTGATTCTTGAGTGCTAGGCTTGTGCTGCATAAATGTCCTTTCCAGAGCTTCCATGCCTTGACACAAGGAACCTAGCTTGTGAAGCACCTCCGTCTGGGTGCGTTCGATCTGCTCCACCTTCCCCTCCAATGCGATCAACTTGACCTCCACATTGCTCAGGCTTCCTATAAGAGTTTGACTTGGCTTTTTTATCGTCCCAGATGGAGTCCCAGAGTTTTCCAACCTGCCGCCCTCGTACATCTTGGCAATGCATGTTGCCAGAGTTGCCTGTTTACTCATGGCTGCCCTGGTCAACCTTAGGGCAATGACAAAATGTGGGGAAAAAAAGGTGGAAGCCCCACTGATCCCTCTGTCAGCCTGTTTTAATTCCTTCGTAGTCTCGGTATTGTGAGCTTCTCACAAAGCTGACCGCTCAAACAAACCCTGTTGTTGGTATGTGCCAGAGACATGACACCACTTAAATAAACACCTCCATTGGGTATCTTATCTCTCCACTTCTATTTTCCCTCTCTCTCTCTTCTGTGTACAAGCCTTTTATATGACATAGCGAGCCTCTGTGATTGCCAAAGTTCCAGTGGTCTCTTGACGTCACCAAAATATTCAAATTCTCTTCAGCAGATGCTGCTGACAGGTGGACATGCAAGGAATGGCCGTTGTAAATGGCCAGTCATTAGGTAGAGAAAAGAAAAATGGAGTCTCACTTGTTAATGTTCACATCACATTTTCTTGTTTAATTCATGGCTGCACTAGTATATGCGTTTTTTTTTTTTTTTTTTTTTTTTTTTTTTGAGGTTAAACAACTGGATCCAGCTTGTGTTGATTATATATCAGCGATAACACCCTTCTCATTGGAACGTGACATGACATTGGCTGACATTTTCAGTAAAAATAAACCTCTGTGGACACTGGTATGGGGATGAATGATATGCTACAACTGCCTCTCTTTCACCTCAGGCTAAGCCCAGCCATAGTTAATACTGAGTCTTTCCAACACCTAAATCATTACAGCAATTAGAAAATCTAATTAAATCTTATCTTTAAAAAACACAAAAATAAATAACAAATGTCTTTAGGTAAAATCAGTCAGTGCACTGATTAACATCCATAGAGATTGTACAAACTTCAAAAGCATGTTTAAAGTGGAAAAAAACAAAGGTTCCTCACACTATAAAATGTATGGGTCTGTAACCATTGGCTTTGCTGTTTCACTGAATGTTTTTTAAATAAAATGTCTTAAAATGTAAACAACGTATAAAAAACATCCTATAATTTAAATAAGTTGTCATTTAATAAGAATATGTCAATAACTCAATTTTGACAAATGTCAGACAGAACCTTTTAATCCTAAGTTGACGATTTATTAACCTTCGCTAATGTTATTCAATCAAAATGTTCACGTTCATTTTTGTTAACATGCAGTGCATTAACTAATGTTACCACATACGACATTTGGACTTAAACTTCCTTAGTAAACGTTGATTGTTGTAAAAATGTTGTTTAATTCATGTTAACTAATGTACTGTAGTTAAGGAATCCACATTGTACTAATACAGACACCAATACAGACGTATAATAACGTTTCATGAACAGCATATATGTATTAAACGTTTATATATGTATTATGATTTAACCAAAATTAATTAAACTGAATGTAGCGTCCTCTTCTAATTATTTTTAGCTAAAAAAACCCACAGATGCTCACCATGCTAATCGATGTTGCAAAACTGAGATTACTTATACAAATATTTGAATGTTTTGTCATAATCAGTATTACTGCAAAGCAGTGAGTTCAAGACATTACAAACTGAACTGATCTTCAAAACACACAAACAAACTTTTTAGGGGGTTTGCTAGAATGTGATTGAAGTTGCTTGGGAAAAAGTCCAGCAAATATACCTCTAATAATACAAGCTTCTAGACAGATCTAGAAGTGAATCTTGAACTCTGTAATACCAATGCTCCATGGGTAAGCCAGGGACTTTTGTCTGAATACTTCTATAAGAGTATGGCTTTCTCCTGCATTCAAATGACAAAACAAAGCGCTCACAATATACTATAACCACATCAAGCAACAGAGATAGAGACCAGGTTCAGGATGACCACAGGAACGTGGCTCCATGCTGACTATTTGGTGCTGGTGGCGAGGAGGAGGTCCGATATTACAAGCTGGCACAACATGAGCAACTCAATTTCCAGTCCACAACAGGACTCAGGCCAGTAAGATAGCTAACATCACTGGAAAAGAATATCTGCCTGGCAGAGATAAGCATAACTTTATGACTGCTTAACGTATTACAACCTTTTTGATCTTTGATATTCATTGAAAATGTCACACAAACACATTGAGAGTACACGGTGTGCATTAAAAGAAAAAAGCCAGTCTGTTGATAAACTGCTGTGCTTCATGACAAGTCTGATAGAGATGAATTGGCTTTGTTAACCCATACAGTAGTTTTGTCTGGCTTGAATATATTTAACTACATTAAATAACTATAAGGATCATGTAAATATATTGTTGAATTTTTAACTTACATACACCAAAATGTAAATTTAAGGTAAAAAAAAACATTACGATAGAATGTTAAAAGAATGTTAAAGTAGTTATTATATCCACTGAGAAAAAACTGCATTGTATGTCACCTCAGCATTGTCTTGACATGGTCAAGACAATCTGCTGCAGTTCAAACCGAGCATCAGAACGGGGATGAAAGGGGATTTAAATGACTTTAAGCTTGGCATGGTTGTTCTGACAGATGGGTTGGTCTGAGAAGATCATCTCTGAACACAATATCAGTCCAACCTTGAGGTGGATGGGCTACAGCAGCAGAAGACCACAGCGAGTGCCACTCCAGTCAGCTAAGATCAGGAAACAATTCGCACAGGCTCACCAAAACTGGACAACAGAAGATTGGGAAAATGTTGCCTGGTCTAATGAGTCTTGATTTGGATGGTAGGGTCAGAATTTGGCATTAACAACATGAAAGCATTGATCCTTTATGCCTTGTATCAACGGTACAGGCTGCTGGTAGTGTAATGGTGTGGAGGATATTTTCTTGGCATACTTGGCCCATTAGTACTAATTGAGTATCGTGTCAATGCCACAGCCTGCCTGAATATTGCTGCTGACCATGACCATTCCTTTATGACCACAGTGTACACATCTTCTGATGGCTACTTCCAGCAGGATAACGCACTATGTAATAAAATGGGAATCATCTCAGACTGGTTTCTTGAACATGACTATGTGTTTACTGTACTCAAATGGCCTTCACAGTCACCAGATCTCAATCCTGTAGAGTGCCTGTGGAACATGATAGTCGCATCATATGTTTGCAGCGATGAAGGATTAAGGCAGTTCTGAAGGCAAAAGAGGGTCCAACATGTGTATGTATTTATGTATGTATGTATATATGTATATATGTATGTATATATGTATGTATGTATGTATGTATGTATGTATATATATATATATATATGTATATATATATATGTATATATATATATATATATGTACAAAAATATATTTTAAATATATTTAAACTGTTTATTCTGTTTGTGAAAGGATGTACTGCACTGTATGCTGCCTTTTTTGTACATTTAAAATATTTTTACTGTTTGCTAATGAATGTATGCTGTGGCATTTAGCCTTGCCCTCTGTCAAGGGAATGTTTTCTCTGTAGTCTCGTTTTACAATTCCTTCTATGCCCTCACATAAATGTTTGACATGGCAGAGACCCTTAGCTTTAAAGGGATGAAAGAGCAGAACGATCTGTTTGGCACTTGTCTTTTTGATAAGAGCACTAATGGTGACAGTGTGTAAATTTGAGGTAAATACTAATTAGCTTAAAACCATTCAATAGAAAAATCACTTTGAAGGTTTGTAATGAATTAAAAGTTAATCAGAAACTCTTTCACAGGCTGAGCTAAATGTGCTTACTCTAAATATAAATAGTTTTTTATTTCTTCACTCTCCCACACAGGCTAATTGCCTTTTTGTGATTCATCTTTGTTCTGAGAAAAGAGATGAGATTGTATTGTAAAACGTACAGCATCTTTAAAATGTTACAATGGGCAATTTTTCAAAAGGCCAAAAGAACAGCACTGTCTTAACAATTTGCAAAACAATGTGGAGATGATTTGCCAAAAGAAAAGAAAATGTAAAAAGGTCAAAGAGGATGCTGCTATAACAGCTCAAGAAAAAAGCTTAGAAGTGATGGAAATAAGCAGAAAAGGTAATTAAAATAATCATATTTTCTCAGAATGAGTGGTAATGGCAACCTGAAACATGTTGTTAGTTCTACTTCCTCAGAAGTTTAATATGTGGTAACACTTTACTTAAAGGTGGTGTTCATAAGACTGTTATGACACCTTTATAATCATGGTTTGACATATGAGATTTCATGCATGCTTATGACAACTGACATTAAGTGGCATTAGTTAAGGTATGCCATTTTAAATGCTGAGGGACATTGTGAAGTCTTTATGACAACTTGACATTAGACATAACTTGTCACAAGACTGTAATGATTTAAAAGTGTCAGTAATCTGTTATATAGTTTTATTACAGTGTCATTATTGATTAATGACATTTATTTACATTTTAATGACAAAGCACGTGTACCAATGGAGTATAGGAAAGATCTTAATGATGCTGTTATACAATTCATGACAGTTGTAATGACCTCATGAGACTCATGTTTATAACATTTATGTTATGTTGTCTTAATAATGTCAAGTTGTCATGGTTGTTAACTTACAAATGCACTGAACCCAATACATGCACACTCATGGACGGGACTTTAAGCAATACACATATAATTATATGCATCTTGTATATGTCTCTCGTTCCGCCTCACGACTTTGACGTTTTTGCTCCACTATTTATTTACCATTTTACATTTGCATATTACATGCTTTTCTACTCTCTTATATTCTGTTCTATTTTATTCTATGCTATTGTATTCTATTTTATTCTATGTTATTCTATGCTATTGTGTTCTATTCAATGCTATTTTATTCTGTTCTTTTCAATTCTATGCTATACTATTATATTCTGTGCTATTGTATATTCTATTCTAGCCTACTCTATTCCATTCTATTCTATTCTGTTATATGCTATTCTATTCTGTTCTTTTCTGTTCTATGCTATTCTGTTCTATTCTATTCTGTTCTGTTTATTCTATGCTATTCTACATTCTATTCTATTCTATTTTATGCTATTCTGTTATTCCAATCTGTTCTTTTCTGTGCTAGTCTATTCCTCTCTATTCTATTCTATTCTATTCTAGTCTGTGTTATTCTATATTCCGTTCTAATCTATTTTTTTCGATTCCATGCTATTCTATTCTGTTCTTTTCTATTCTGTGCTATTCTGTGATATTTTCTATTCTATTCTATTCTATTCTATTCTATTCTGTTGTTCTGTTCTGTTCTTTTCTTTTATATTCTGTGCTATTCTATTATGTTTTATTCTATGCCATTGTTCTGTTCTTCTCAATTCTATGCTATTCTATTCTGTGCTATTCTATCTTTTATTCTGTTCTATTCTATTCTTTTCTAAATGCTATTCTATTCTGTTCTATTCTATTGTATTCTGTTCTATGCTATATTACTCTGTTCTTTTCTATTATATGCTTTCTATTCTGTGTTATTTTCTATTCTATTCAATTCTATGCTATGCTATGCTATTCTATTGTGACAAGAACATCTCAAACAATGTTATCTTTGCATTTTAAATAACATAACTGAGCTAATGACCATGGCATATTGTCATGCCATGATTTTAAAGGTTTTATGACAGTGTTATGAACGTATTATATATATTTACCTAAATAAGGTAAATAACAAATGGTTAGTGGTTAATTACAATGCACAGGTAACCTTCTTGTTTTGTTTTTTTCAATCATCTCTATTCAGCATTATATTCCTTTATACAACTTTTTAAATTGATTATTATTCTGACATTGTTTGAGAATTTCACACCACATACAGACATACACAAATTGTTGAATGTTGTCCTTGTTTTCAACCTCCTAAGATGTTGTTCTTCTCTTAGATTATATCCCTCTTGACTTTTTTCAAAAATCTTTTTATGCATTTCAGAAGGAATTTATTCCTTGCTTTAACCATAAATTGTGCTGTTTTAAATTTAAAGAAATCATTGAGTTAAAGTACCTTCAATTAAAAAAAATAAAATAGTTGTATGCTCCAATTACCCCACATCTTCAATCAGTCCAATTACTTTTTTCTGTATTAAGAATCGTAAATTAGATTTGTATGTATTCCCCAAAATTTCAACACAATAACTTATATGGCAACATAAATGTGTTATATAATATATGCATTGATTTATTGTCCAGGATAAATCTTGCTTTATACACTATTGCTACAGTTTTTACTCATTTTGATATCACATTATTTATTTGCGGTTTCCAACTTCATTTTATGATCCAATACAACACAAAAAAAAAACTTAATTGCATGTACTCTTTCTATTACGTCATTATCAATCTTTAAAACTATATTAAGAATACTTTTTAATTTCCCAAATAACATAACCTTTGTAGTTTTGGAAAATTATCTCCAGAACCATACTTGTATCATCCGCAAGTGAAATAAACTTAAACAACTCTGATACCTTACACATATCATAACAACACAATATTGGACCTAAAACGATATTATATGATATATGACATGATATGATATGATATGATTTGATATGATTTTAATATTTATGGCTGCTAATAATTGTGGCGTGCTTTCTAAAATCTATAAGGGAACAAATGATCATAACAAATATTAAGATATTTTAAATCATTAGAAATATCATGCTGGTAATTCATTAAAGCCTGTTGGTATGAAGCATAGCAGCAAAATATGAAGATTTTTAAACTGACGATTATTTAGTATTTGGGGCTGCACTGTAATCCTTTAGTAGAGTGTTTGAACGTTATAAAATAATCTTCATTTGAAGTCATTTTATATGCTATATTCTGTAAATAATGATAAAAACGCACAATATACACTATGATTTCCACCGGAAAATTGTATTTATCATGCTTTTATTTAACAATGTATTTCTGTATATTCTATTTCTTCTTTTGCATGAAAAAGGCATCCTACCGTGAATTTGCGAATGTAGTCCGACACACTGAACCCTCCTGTGCTGAGAAGCGTTGATCTGTACAGCGAGGTCCCCATCATGCCCTGCTGTCCTAGGTTAATGGGACTCAGTGTGCTCTATTCCCAAAGTGGGCCATCAAAAGCAAATAATACTCCACAGAGCTGCGCTCTTAGGGATCTCTAACATTCTGTAGTGGACATATCCCCCCTCAAACACTACCTATCTTATCACTTTCAGCCCATTTACAGGGTTTGCGCCCCCCCATCCTCTCGGCAGAGGCCCAGAAAGCACTTCCTGCACACAGATAACAGCTGCCTGAGATTAGTGCGAGTATGCTGGAAATGTGAGTGTCCTGTTTTATTAATAGGTCTCAGATTGGTGTTTTTGTTTGGGACGGTCCCTGCGGGATGTCTTCTTCCCTACATGTGGATGGGGATATGACGAGGATGCTGGGGATCACAGCAGATTTCAGTTTCCATGATGCCAGTTGGAAAAGCATCCACTTGTTCCTACGTCCCATGTTCCGCTGTTATTATGGGAGTAACTTGCATTAAACTGTAAACAACTGTAAACTGGGCACAACAAGGTACGAAAAGGTTATTATTCTCACAGTTCATCCATCACATATTAAAAAGTACCTTATAAGAATTAACAAATTACTTGCAGCAACCTATGTATAATGTCAAAAACTTAATTATTTTAAACAATTGGTTGAATATTATTGTACACTGTATAATACAAATATAAAATAGTGTTGAGGAACAAAACGCTGTGAATTCAAAAGAGCTTTGGCCACATTTAAGCTTGTGTTATTAATGTGAGGTTAGAATACCAAGTGTACTACTTTCTTTTTGTTCATGAGGGATAAAAATAAATCACAAAGCCAAACGAAAGTCTTACTCAGTTTCACTATATGGGTTATTATCCCAACCCTATTATTCAAAGTCATTTGTTTCAGTTCTTTTGAATGGATGTTCTTCAAACTGCAAGTGCAACCCAATTTGAAAAGCTGCAGTCATGTGTGGGAAAAGGTGGATATGAAGAGAGATTGTGTTCTTAGACTTGTAAGTGATGTGATCCCATGCACTGACCCAGTTGGAGACAACTGCATCAGTCGTGCTCAGATGTGTAGGCATCCAGTATAGCTTCAAGCTTAAGTCCTTTCTGATGAGGAATTTTAAAAAGTTGGATCAAGGGGAAAGACTTCACACATCTGGGTTTGGAAAAGCCTGGAGTCATGCATACAGACGGGTAAAGCATAGACCATGCAGTCTGTTTTGTTGGCTTTGGTTTTAGAGGCAGAAATGTAAAAGCCCTGGAGACTGATGGAAGAAAATCCCTTTCTGATTGGTGGCATTGGTAAATAGTTCTCTTCATGGCTGGCGACTTTTGAGTCTAACACCAGTCAGATTGAACGTGTCAATGCATGTCAATGATGTTAATGTGTAACACAATTACAATGGTTGACATGATGCTAATAGAAGCAGGATGTAATAAAGGCTGCGTCTAAAAGCTCAGGCTGCTGACTTGTTGCCTCGCTTCCCAATCAGGCATAATTCTGTAGGCAGTGTTTGGCCACCTTGTAAAACTGATTTCAGACAGACTGAGTCAGTCTGAGTCTGCATTTCTGAGTATGTCTCATACAGGTGAGTGGGCTTAACTGCTGCAGGCTTAAATAACTTTTGCACAAAATTAAACCTTAAATCACTTTTTTGCACAATATTCACCTTTAATGCCTCTCTTGCACAATATCCTGCACAACATTGTTCAGTCTCACATAAAAAAAACTTGTATACCCGTCTATTATAGTCGTTATGCATAGGTTTTTAAAGGGGTGGTCCAAAGTGTAATTTTGAAGCTTGGTTGTGTTTTAAGATGCAAAGCAATGTGTGCTCATGCTTCATTTGTAAAAAAAAAAATAAAAAAAAATAAAATCATGATATTAGCGCATATATATATATATATATATATATATATATATATATATATATATATATATATATATATATATATATATATATACTTTGATTATATACAGCTAATCAGCTGACATGGAAATGACCTGTCATATTTCTAGTTCCTCTAGATTTGCAAATTGGCTCCACGTCATATTGCGCAGTGTAAACAGTTCAGTCAAAGCAGTTGTTAGCAGCGTTAGCTCCATGAATCAGACAGAAAAATGAAGAGGACAAAGCTGAAACTCACGCCTGCTGGCTAAAATAAAATCTGACAAGTTTCTTTCACATATATTCAGAAAAAGCATGTGTGAGTAATATGAAACTTTCACATCCTTGGCAAGTACACTATTTGTGTTGTAGAACGCATGGAAAGCGTCCATATAGAGAAACACTGCAGCGCTGGTTATGATTGTGGATGTTCACAGCAGTTTGACAGATAAATATGAATTTGTAGCTAAATTGTTAGTGGTGCCAAACAGCGTTTTTTGTTGTTTACATCCTTGTTTACGTCCTCGCAACAACACACCATTGATGCTAAACAATCCACAGCTTTATCTGTTGGAGGAGTTTTAGCCGAATCCAGCACTGAACTGGGAGAGATTCTGGAAGCTGTCCTATGTCAAATGCTAGAGCTATATCTTTTTTATAGTTCTCTGGAACATATCTAAAATTAAACTGTAAGCACTTTTCTCTTTATGCCGTGTCCTTTGAAAGCTCAAATACAGAAACAGAAGAAGCTCTCTGGAAATAGAGCGTTTGGACGGCATTTTAGCTTTCTCTGCTATAACATTACAGCACCTCTGGCCACGGCCCTTTGCTGCGTGGTGAATGCGCGTAAACTGAAGCACTTGCCTGGATGTATTTTTTGTAGTCCCCAAAGTTCCTTCGCTAGGCTTTGCTAAGCTAACTCTGTAAAAGCCAGTGTCTACCTTTGCATTAAACTTTGAGCATCTTACATTCAGAGATGTTGTTTATGGTTACACTGCTACATTACACATCAACTAAAGTTTAAAATACATTATCATAGTGGAGCACCCCTTTAAAATAGCTCTTATGTCCAGTGTTGTGTGTATTTATGATTATTTTATGCAGCAACGTTGTCCTGCGAGACAATGACAATAAAGCTCGACTTGACTTCTGAGAGGATTTAATCTAGCACATAAAAATAGAAAGAGTTTTGGTGATAACTAAGAGGATATTTGCTTGCTTCAATATTATCTTCCTACTAGAAATGCCATAAAATTGGAAAACGTTGGGCCAAAACATGCATTGGCTCCCAAGTTGTGCTTTGAGACCCAAACTATCAAAAGTGAAATTAACAGGATTTTGGGATACTGAAATTCAATCAGAAAAGGGTACCTGCCGAGACATGAAGTAAAGTATCATTTAGATTTGGTTGTGCCTTGATGCCTTCCCACCCTTCAAAGGTATAATTTTAGAGCTTTTGGACGCCGCTGAAGTGTATCAGTGAGGTGGTTTAATTCACTGTATCGTCACTGTTGTAAGGACCTGTTAAATTGTGTAGGTGGTTCTCCAGATGGCACTCAAAACATTTTAATGTTAAAACAATAATGGGATTCTGTGACAGGGCTGTTGTTCCTGTTAGTAATGGGGCAGGTGGCATCAAGTATGGCGTCTAGCATGACTCACACGCACTTTTGTCATCGCCATGCTCTATTATATGACATGGACTTTAATGACTCAATATGAGGCACACCACTACTGCCTGTTCTGACCTTCACTGACATAACTTCTGAAATCACAACAAGTCTGTGAAGTAGTAGGATGAAGTTGTTGAAAATGTAAAAAGTTAGTCAATTGTCACTAGTGAATAATTGTAAAATGGAGTGAAAATTATTTGTTCAAAAACAAAAAAATGGTGATCAACAAAACAGCATAAGCAATTCCAAATGAATCCAGAAACTTTTTCACATCCTCAGTACTGAGGTACATGATGCCATAAAAGATGTGTCTCTGTGTGTATATATATATATATATATATATATATATATATATATATATATATATATATATATATATATATATTGTAATCCTGATGTAGATATAATAGGTCTTAACCTGCAGCACAGTTGATTAAAACAACAAATGTTATCTCTGACAAACAATAAAGGACATTTCCAGTCCCACATATGGACCACTGCCTGAATGTCTGATGAAGAAAAGTAAAAAAAAAGAGAAAACACTTCAGGGGTTTCAAAGGAGTTTCATCATCTGATTGAAAGAATTCTATAGGACTTTCATGAGAAGTGTGTGTTGTGTTCATTAACAGTCCGTCTGGAAAAAAGCTGTCATGATGGCAAACCTCCTCATGGAAGATAAAAGCTGCATGTTTTCACTTGAAATGGAACTTATAATGATCAGGTAAATACATGGTTTTTTTTTTTAAGTATGGCTCTTAAAAGCATCAATTCTTTATCCGTGGGGGAAAAGTATTATACATTGATCTTTTAGAGTGGTGTGGAAATAATATCAAAACCCAGTAAAATTAATTTTGTCAAGTTGTTTACCACAGACTTTACTCATTAACTGAAAACACCATACCTAAAACCCAACAAGTAAATCACAAGAGTATCCATGACTGATTACTCTTTTTTAGTTTAGAGATCACTTGTGCATCACTATATTGACGTCAATATTGCATTTTTTCAAACCCCTAAAAACAAATCGAAGTGAAACAACAGGGTTTTTTCTGAACAAATCACAACAGTGCTGATATACAGCCATATTACATATCACAAAATATTGATATGAAGAGTTTAGTTGCAAAAACCTCTCAAAAACCCTTTTGTGTGAGGAAGTTAGGAAACTACTTTCCTCCACCATGGTTGACCACATTTATTGCTTACCAAAAGCTATTGCTAATTCAAAAACATCTCTTTTAGAACATGTATTTTAATATTTCAATGCATCATGTATTGTAATTAAGATGATGATTGCTCTCAGATCAGGATTTTATGACATAAAACAAAATAAATAAATCAACAGACAGTTTACTATGTGGGGAACTCGCACAAACTAGCCACAGAAAGGCCAAAGCAAAGTACTAATTTAGTTTAAGTTCATACAGTTGAAGTCAGAATTATTAGCCCCCTTTTCATTTTTTCTCTTTTTAAAACATTTTCCAAAGGATGTTTAACAGAGCAAAGAAATTTTAACATTATGTCTGATAATATAGTTTCTTCTGGAGAAAGTCTTGTTTGTTTTATTTCGACTAGAATAAAATCAGTTTTTATTTTTTAAAAACCATTATAAGGTCAGAATGATTGGCCCCTTTAAGCTATTTTTTTCTGAGAAACGTCTAAAAAATGTACAAATGTTGCAG